GACAATCACAGGGGAATAAGTTTAACTAATATAGTTTCTAAATTGTTAGCCTCGATTATACTTAGACGTCTAACTAGAGCTCGCGAAGAGCAGATTCGAGAAAACCAATCTGGTTTTCGACCTGGACGTGGTTGTATAGACCACATCTTCACACTACGACAGGTCCTGGAACACAGACACACATTTAGACGTCCGACAATAGTCGTGTTCCTGGACCTTAAGGCGGCATTCGACTCAGTGGATCGTGAGGTTCTGTGGCAGTGTCTGTCATTGAAAGGTGTACCAAAGAAGTACATTAACCTTATACAAGCACTCTACTCGAACACCACCGGTCGGGTGAGAGCATATGGCGAACTGTCATCTGAATTCTCTACATCAAGTGGTGTCCGTCAGGGCTGTCCACTCTCTCCATTCTGGTTTAACTTTGTCGTAGACATCCTCTTAGAGTTAACATTAAGCTCGTCAGATTTTTCAGGGGTTGACCTTTTACCAGGAAAGTCGCTTACTGATCTAGAATATGCCGATGACATAGTTCTATTCGGTGAAGACGCTGACAAAATGCAGAGTCTTCTGACTACCATAAGCAACAATGCGAGCATGTTCGGGATGCGGTTTTCCCCCTCGAAATGCAAAATGTTGCTTCAAGACTGGGTTGCTTCGGCACCTGAACTAGTGATAGGGAGTGAAGTAGTCGAGCGTGTAGATCACTTCACTTATCTGGGGAGTCTCATCAGTGCTGACGGTCTGGTGACTGACGAAATCTCAGCTCGGATACAGAAGGCTCGATTGGCTTTTGCCAACCTGCGTCACTTATGGCGTAGGCGTGATATCCGTTCGCTAACCAAAGGGCGGGTGTACTGCGCAGCAGTTCGTTCCGTTCTCTTATATGGCTGTGAAACATGGCCGTTAAGAGTAGAAGATGTTCGTAGGTTACTAGTATTCGATCATAGATGTTTAAGAAGGATTGCTCGTATACCGTGGGACGGCCGAGTAAGCAATGCTGTCGTTAGGAAACGAGTACTAGGTAAGGATGGCAGATCAATCGATGAAGTGGTGAAACTTCATCAGTTGAGGTGGTTGGGACATGTGTTACGTATGGCTAACCACCGACTGCCTCGACGAGCTATGTTTTGTGGTGTAGGAGTAGGTTGGAAGAAAGCTAGGGGCGGCCAGACCAAAACATGGCAGAAATCCATGAAGTCACTGACAAGTGGACTGAGTCATGTTGGTAGATGTAGACTACCTGGTTGGGGTCCGCGAGACGAAAGTCATCAATGGTTAGAGACCTTGAACGATATGGCTCAAAATCGTTTGCAATGGCGCAGGCGCATCCACTCTTTGAGCTCTCTCAAATCCTAATTTTCTGGATTCGTCAGCACCTCTACCTTTGTCTTTCTAACCTTATCTCACTGAATTATATTTTTTGAATAATATCTTAAACCCTAGTCTTCTTTATTATAACATTAATACCTCTACCATCTTTATCACTATGGGATTTGATTTGACATTTGCGTCTCTGTGCTAATAATGTGGTATGGCAACATGAACTTATGTGCATACGTACGAAGTTCCACGTTGCGACTGACTGACTGACTCACGAAACGTTATTGCTGGTCTCGTGAAACCTCGTTCTAAATTACATGTTGGAGCTTTTAATGTCCGAACATTGTGTCAAATAGGGTAACAGGCTTCATGAGCTAGGACTTTAGAATCTCGCGTCATCGATGTATGCTGCGTCTCGGAAACGCACACACAGAATCCGAGTAGCGCCATTCACTTGACCTCACCATTTCAAGATGAAGATGCAACTCGATTTACCCTTCGTGTATCTGGAAGTCCTGATGCTGCTTCATGTGGTCTCGCTGGTGTGGGTATAGCATTGAGTCGTAAGGCAGAAATAGCTCTCTTAGACTGGATCGCAGTAGACAGCCACTTGTACGCTGTCGGACTAAACGGGACAGTAAGGACTCGGAAAGATAGGGACACTTGCCGTTGCCTCTTCGTCATATCTGCCTATGCCCCCACTGACTGCAGTTCAGACGAGGTGAAAGATGAGTTCTACAGAAAGCTTTCGGACCTCCTCCTAAAAGTTAGGCACTCTTATGTAGTAATAATGGCTGGTGACTTTAATGCTCAAGAAGATAGACTAAGTGAAAAGGATAGACACCTAGGTGGATGTTATGGTGTCGCGGCTCAGAAAACAGACAGTGGCTACCGTCTGCTGCAATTGTGCTCATATAACCGCCTATTTCTAGTTAGGTGAGCATGTAGTAAGCGATTCCCATCCCGAGGTAGCTTGGAATGATATCAAAAAATCTATGGATACAGCAGTGATATCTGCTAGTAAGGTAAACCATAAGTCTAAGAAGAAGCCGTGAATCTCAGTAGCATCCACCGAACTGATAGACGCTCGTAAACTCATTCGACCTGGCTCTGAACATGATGAAGAGCGAAGTCAGCTCAGGCGCTGGCTGATAAGAAGCCTTGTCAATAATCGAGAATATTGGTGGGTAGCGAAAGCAAAGTCGATGGAAAAGGCAACGGCGATAGGCAAAAGCAGAGAATTATTCAGACTCAGCAAGGAAACCGGTATTAGGAACCCGAATGTGAGTGAGACTATCTCGGAAAAGGATGAGATTGCTATTTATTCTCAATCCAGGAGATTGGATCGATGGGCAGAACACTTCACGGATCAGTTCAACTGACCTTCAGCCACACTTCGGTTGCCCACGATCTACATTCATCCTGAATGGCAAGTCGATTTAAGTCCTCCTTGTCTACATGAAGTTGAGAAAGCTATAGGAAATCTAAAGAGAGGTAGGGCAGCTGGTCCTGATAGGCTTACCCCTGAGATTTTTAAGGATTGTGGACCCGTTTTAGCAGTTAGACTGACCGGGATTTTAGGTAGAATTTGGGAACTGGGAGTAATCCCACCTGACTGGTCTCAATCAAAGATTGTCCAAGTCTACAACAAAGGACAAAAGTCTTCTTGTGACAGTCACAGGAAAATCAGTCTAACTAATATAGTTTCTAAATTGTTAGCCTCGATAGTGCTTAGACGCCTAAATAGAGCTCATGAAGAGCAGACTACAGAAAACTAGGCCGGTTTTCGACCTGAACGTGGATGTACAGACCAAATATTCACACTACGTCCATTCCTAGAACAAAGACACATTCAGATGCCCCATAATAGTAGTATTTCTTGACCTTAAAGTGGCATTCGACTGTGGCAGTGTCTACCATTGAAAGGTGTACCAGAGAAGTACATTAACCTTCTACAGGCTCTCTACAAGAACACCACTGGTCGAGCGAAAGCTTATGGCAAACTTCATCGGAACTAGTTACTTCAAGTGGTGTCGTCAGAGCTGTCCACTTTCTCCATTTTTGTTTAACTTTGTCGTATATATGCTTTTAGATATAACATTATCATCGTCTGACTCTTCAGGAGTGGGCCTTTTACCAGGGTACACGCTTGCTGACTTAGATTATGATGATGACATAGTTCTATTTTGTGAAAACGCAGACAAAATGCAGAGTCTTCTGACCACCCTAAGCAACAATGCAAGCATGTTCAGGATGCGGTTTTCCCCCTCGAAACGCTAAGTGTTGCTTCAAGATTGGGTTTCATCGGTAGCTGAACTAGCGATAGGGAGTGAAGCAGTTGAGCGTGTTGACCGCTTCATTTATCTCGGTAGTGTCATCAGTGCTCATGGTCCTTCAGAACTTTTTATTGATACAGATATGGTCGATTTGGTTCCGAGTAGTGTGATCCGGTGAAATCCATGTAACTAACTTTGTATGGAAATGTGGTGCTTCCCATGACCAATTTGTTGAAGACACATAGGTTTGCAAATCTCTCACTATTTTCGCTCCTTTCTCCCAGTTCATGTCGTCCCATGATGTCTTCATATCCAGTGTTGTCCATGCCAACCTTGGCATTTAGGTCTCCCATCAGAATCGTCAAATCCTTTGGTGAGCATCTCGATGATTAACTGAAGCCTCTCGTAGAATTGATCTATAACGTCTTCATTGTAGTCGTTGGTAGGTGCATAGCATTAAATGACGTTCATTGTAATGCCCTCTTTCTTTGTTTTGAAAGATGTTTTGATGATTATATGTGTATGAGATTCCCATCCCATCAGTGCAACTCCTTGTGTGTGTGTGAAGCATTTTTCTCTTCATGAGCAGAGTATAACAGCAGTTCCTCTGAAGCTAGTCTCAGTTGTCCAACCTGTGTCCAATGCGTTTCACTTATTCCAAGCACCTTCGGGTTGTATGTTTTCATTTCTGCAGCAACTTGAAATAGTCTTACAGTCTCCCACAATGTACGAACGTTCCATGTACCTAAAAGAATATTTGCTCTGGTTTTCAGAAGGGGTATCGGCCTCGTGACGTCCGAGGGAACTCGGCTTTAATCATGAGACGTCATAATTCTTCTTCCAACTTCCAGGGCAGAGTTAAAATGGTTTGAATGATTTGTTTTGGTTAGCGTTTTTTGGTGTGATGGGGTCGCCAACCCCATGCCCAGCCCTCCTTTATCCGGGCTTGGGACCAGTAGTAGCCCCCAAGTGTATACAGGCGGAGTTGGTTGCCTGTACCGTGGAAGCCGAATCCTTTTTAAGGGACCTGAAAGGCAAACTGGATCATTACTGGTCGTATCGTCCCTAGAACAACACATTTTCCAGCTAATATAACTCGACTGAGACATCACAATATACAAATCTGATCACCAAGTCAAGGTAGCAGCTACGGTTTGGTTTAAATATCAAAAGAGAAGGTAAAAGGATCTGATAACTCAATTTTAGTATTTCAGTACAGCTGTATAACAGCATTCAGACTTATGCACTACACTTCAAGGTAAATTTATTGTACAACGATTATAGAAACTATATAACTGCATAGATCGTGAATAAGAAGCAGAGTTCTAAAGAGAAAAAATGCTGAATAAAATCCATACTACAAAAGTATTCAACTAAAAACGAAAAAGAGAAGTAACATACAGATACACGTTGATGAGCTGCTCGACTATAACGTTCCAATTCAGGACACATATCTTCACATGTACCTTTTATAGGTGCATGATGAATTGGTTCATCTGTAGGATTGTTGCATATATCTGTATACGGAATGGTTGAATCAATTGATTTGGATATAGATCGTAATTCACAATCACGTTTATAACATTCTTGTAAAACAAATAATCGTTCATCTAATGTAGTAGCATTTGCAGATTTATAATTAAATAAACTATGATGATTGTTATTATTATTATAGACGGATACATTTGGTCGTGGAATAGAGGAGAGTGTGGATTGTGTACAACATGCTATTTGTGATGATATCGATGATAATTGATTATTGTTTGATATACGAAATGGTTGATTATCACTTGTAATAATAGATGTATTAGAAAATTGTTTATTGTCAATTCCATGCTTTATATTCTATCGAGAGAAAAATAAAATAAAACAAAAGAAGAAGAAGAAGATTCTTAAAGTAATCTCCTTGAAGATTTTTTATTAATCTCACCAACGAACTCTAACACATGTAAAAATAGTATCAAGTGAAAAAAAAATGACAACTAATCATAAAATTGGGATTAGGTCAATAACAACAACAACAACCTTTCATTGCTGATTTCGAATGGATTCTATGAGTGCTCTTATCATTTATGCTCAATCTGGTACAAATAAACATTTGATAATTATTACAAATGTGATCTTTGTTTTGTGTGTTTGTGTGTGTGTATATATCGTCTTTACTTCATATGTCAGCCTCGACTAATATATCACTAAAACAAACTTCAAAAATGTCAGAATGAGTTAACTTAAAGCGTTTTCTACAAAAAGAATATTGTCTAATCAAATAACATGCCTTTTTATACACATTAAATTATCCAGTAACGAATAACAACAATATGATTAAAATTCATAAACAATTAAAAGAAATCCGTTTTATCGATGAATTAACTAACAGACACAATCACATTTAGCTTAGCTCTTATTCATCATAATATCAGAAATATACTGAAAAATGCTAAGCAATCACTTCAAGACAATAAATAACCTTCTGAATACTGTAAGCGTTATTGTTCCAATGAATTTATGAGTAATCAATCAATCATTCAATCAGTCAATCATATACACGTCTATTGATAAATTTTGCACAACACTTAGAATAATTTAATCCTCAACGTTTTTGTTTTTCTTGTCATTTCGATTGGAAATACTATTTTTGTGTATGCATAAACTGCATTTATGCAAAATAGATGAAACTTCAAGACCACCATAATTTACGAGTGGAATAAGTAAGATAAGATTGATTTATTTTTCTTTTTTTTCAAAAAAAAAAATATTCTAATGTTCCTGAAATTCATTTGTTCTTTTTCGTAAATATGAATCAAATCTTTGAATAAAAACAACTGAGATTTTTATGCTTTCATGTATATGAAAAATTAAAATTGGACAGTTGATGAAATGGGAAAATATCAAGCATTATTTTGTACAACTGAACTTAATTCTAATGTAGAGCAAGCAACATGATTATTGGTGTCATTATGAATTGTCATATAAATAATATTATTACAAGTAATGACACTAAATCAAGCTTACAGACTGTGGTGTGGTGATTTTTTTCTGTGCTGTACACGTTGGAGACAAGGAAGAATTAATGGTTTTACTCTTGATCGGGCATAATTTAGATGAACCAGAATTAGCTTGCCGACGACATCGTGCCATTGTAAAAAGAACTGAACTAGGTAGACCACTATTTGCCAATGTAACAGATTCACGTCCTAATCGTTTAGCTCGATTTGCTGATGACTTAGAATAAATGAAAAGTTAAAAATATACTGACAATGTAGTTAGTTGTTGAGGAATGATAGAAACCACATGATTAAAACGAAATAATCGACATATTTTACTTTCATTTACCAGTTATTTACTACATAAAAGTTTGATGATTTTACTAATCCACAACACATTTTGTTACTGGATAACAATAACAAACTTCTCTAAACTAAACGAGATAATAATCGTGTGCAAACAGTATGATATTTTATTGTATTCATAATATAACCAGTAATTGGATAACGTGTTTACCGTATAACCAATAACAACGAAATATGCTCTTTTTTAGGATTACACTATCAAATTTAATAAATAAACCTATAAAACATACAACTGTATTAATTTGCCAACTAAATACTAGTAGAACAACGATTGCACCAGCGCGAAATGATTAAACCAATTTAAAAACTGATGACTAATTCGAAAGTTCATAGGTTGTGTTCACAACTGTAGTAATAGTAGTAGTACATTTTCACCATTCAAACACAACCCAATGTATTCTCATAAATTAGTTGACTATAACTCTCCTCTTGTTTTACATTGAAAAAATTTAATGTAACCAGTTCCATAAATGAAGGTAAACACGTAGATGTCAATTAACTAAGTACTAACCAATGAATCAAAAGCTATATAAGCGGCATCCATAGAAGGTTGACATATAATTCGTTCTATACGACCAAAATGTTGAAAGTGATTCAAAAGAAAATTCTTTGTGTTATATCCAATCGGTAGACGGGATAATTTGACTGCAGGCCAATACAAATTAACATCATTTCGGACATTATTTGAAAATAGGCACTCTGTTTCATGATTAGAAGATTCAACAAAATCCAGATCTGATGAATATAAAGATTGAAATGAAGAATATGCAAACAATAAGAAGTTCGATTGCAATAGAAAAAAGGGTTAACAGAAATTATTAGTTAACTAACAGCATGATATAACAATGAATCTAATAAAGTAGTTTTGTTTAGTAGAATGCGCCATTGTGTTCTATTTCAACTGCAATATAATGGACAAAAATTTAATTATTTGCACATGCGTAACTCAAACTGAATACAGGTTATCATATAGGAATCTGAGAATCCTTTTTATAAGGATTGGAGATATCCAACTGTCCACAGGAAGCTTTAGAATGCAACCGAACAGTTTGAAGCATAGTGTTTAAAACGATTTTAATCCTATTATTAATTAATCAACTAATAACATCAAGGTTAGTGGGATCAAAATTATAGTAGTGTAACGTACGAAGTGAAGACCAGATGGTATATATATATATATATATATATATATATATATATATATATATATATATATATATATATTCAGAGATATAGTTTATATATAAAGTATGTACACATAAGGTTCAAACATACATCTGCAAGTAGAAGCAGGTGTTTGACTGTCTTCTTCAGTATACTCCGATCATTCCATGCATTCTGATCTCCAGACACCCTTCTCTGGTGAAAAGCCCTAAGCGACGCCCCCCAACATACTCATAATATGCCACCTTGTGAGTAGCATCCATCACAGTAGCACTAATATATGTAAGGCCCTGCCTAACCAAAATAAAAGTGAAAATCTAGTCGAATTAAAAAGTACCTCTAATATACCAGGATCTGTATAACATTTCATATTCAGGTTGAAGTTTTGTGCAAAGTAGCTCATCAGGGAAAATGTGTCCATTGATTTACTTTAAGTGATTTAAGTAGCCAACTGTTTCATTATAAGACCAAGTAATTCAAATTTACTTACGGAAAGCAAGTGCTTTATGCGCAAGATTCTAGCATTCTACCTTTGACATAGGTATGAAAAATAAGGGGGAAAGCAGTCACTCTCCAGAATCCAATGAGTTGTTTACTTTTCTGTACTCAAGTTCACTTGCCAGTCAGTAAAATCTGAAATATGTACATCTGGATTTTGTGAGGCGTAGTACTACTACCTGACCGACTAGATGGAAATAGAGGAAATGAGATTTAAATGTGTGACCTGGTTTAAAGCTGGGTTTTTCAACCACTAAGTACCTTTAGTATTCTTACCTCGACCTTAAGCAGTGATTGAATGAATGTGTGCTACTCGAAGTCAACATAACACATTAGTCAGAGATGAAATTTTTAAGACTAAGACCAGAGTAGTGGTACTAATGAGTTTTTTGAAGAGACTGGATATGTATCAACAAACTAGTTAATCAAAAGTGCACAACTGAAAAATGAAAATGTGATAGATGACGAAAGACAAAGATGAACTCACAACTACTGTGTGCACTGTCATTCACACTGGTACCATTCGTATGACGATCATTTTGATCTTTGTCCAAACCATTACCACTTCGGAGAGGATGAAAAACTTTTCTTGAGACATCACTATTCTTTCCGCTTGTTTGAGCTGACGAGAAACTAGGTCCTGATTCTTTAACATCGATCCTGTATTCCGTAGTTGCTTTTAGGTTACCAAACAACCCTGATCCTGGAATGTTGCTATCCGTAACAGGTGGAACTTGAAACAAGTTTACGGAGGGATTGTTTGATATTCCAGCAAATAAACCAGTGGGTTTTTCGGAATTTGATGAGCCAAACATAGGATTTTATTACGAACACAAAAGCAGGCTGAGTAGCTTGCTAAAAACAAACGGAGAAAATCTCTAGTCTGACAAACATCAGATGAATATATTGATTATTTCCAGTAAAAAGAAATTAACATCCATGTTGTCCAAAAAGTTTAGCTGAACGTCTGTCCAACTTTATGAACTGCAAGATCGAAGCGTTTAGTATCAGTAATCTGTCTATCATTTGAATCGACCATTATTTTAATTCATACTCGAACTAGAAAGGAATTTTTGACTTCAGTCTATTATAGTTTTATTTCATTCAATGAAATAATTTCGGTATCATCAAACGGCATCAAACGTATGCGCTATACAAATAAAGGGACAACACAATGAAGAAGCAACGAACCACAAAGAAGCCCAAGCAAAGAATGGAATAAAAACAAGTAAACAAAAACAATACATAATATGAGGTCAAGTTTAGTCAAAATTATATCCAAGAAAGATCACATCGCATGTGACAGAAAACTAATGGTTTCAATTCTGGGCCATATCTGATGTTACGAGGCAGTGAGAGTCAGGGTTGGAAGATATTCGAGTCCTAGATAGATATTTTCATACCACAGCCTCATGCCTTATAATGACCTCTTTTCAATCTCTTCACCCAGCCCCAGCATCAGTAAGCAACGCGTAAAGTGGAGGCTACTGTGATGGCACTCGTAAAACATATATACGTCAATAAACTTGGTGTTCCCAGGTGATAAAACTAACTGAAGTAATAATCACTAAACCAGGTTTTATGTTGCGTCTGATTGACTGAATACTCGTTCTAAAACCTTAGAATTACTAAAGAGGTGCCGACATTAGATGTAGCTAGTTTTCTAACAATAATGGTCAACCTAAAAGTGTGTTCATTAGAGCTCCTCACTTTTGCATTTTCTGATTTTTCTATTGGTTTCTTTGAAATATTTTCTTCGATTTACCTTTTAAGTATCAAAGTCTTACCAGAAGGTTCATTGGCTAACTTAAAATACCTATACGAAATTGTATGATTTGTCCAAGACGCTGATATACCCAGTCTTTTGAGCAACAAAGTAAACATTCTTAGGATTCGATTCCCCATCCCTCTAAATGAAAATCGTTACTTCACGACTGGTCTATAGAAACCGTTAAAGTAGTGGCGTCAAGTGAAGTAGTTGGGCACATAACAACACTTATCTTGAAAGTCTCATCAATCCTGGAGAGTTGGTGTCCAAAGAAATCCCTGTAGTGTATGCTTAGAAAGGTGGTGACATCTAGACACGGAAATTAGGCGCGGCAGTCAATCAAAATAAGACTGATTTTATTGTGAAATACTTAAGTTTATTTTCCGAGTGGAATAGAGAAAACGTATTTACACCTGACAGATACATATATACTCTACTCTTTCTCTTAATTAGTGACCAATAATACGATTAGACAACACAAACTGAAATGTAACGACACAGAGAATAAACCAATCAAGTAAAAGTTTAAATACTTCAAGTCACACTTCATGACAGAACTAACTGGAAACGTTGGGTGGTACGGTTTGGAATATGTATAAATCACAACTACATATAATTGTACAAGAATCTGGTAATTTAACAGTTTCCATCAAAACAACAAAATATGAGAATTAAAGAATGTGGTACTTGAATTTTTGTTAGTGTAATTTTTAGTTGAAAAGTCAGTCATTTATATTCAACATAGAGCCTAGTACACGTTTGCCTACTCGAACTGCTACGTCACGGCATGTCAGGATGATCAGCAATATGAATCGAGGTAGGCAATGATTAAGCACTGATTTGCGACCTTTAATATTACCCTACGCCTAACCTTAGTATTGTTAGCATGACCATTTCACAGTAAGCTAGCCAAGCAGTATGGATGCCTGTTGTTAAAAACTAGCTTATTATTACCCATAGCCGTAAAGTGATGCAGAAAGGATTGCTGAGTGCATTTATACTTTAGTCAGCAATAACATGTGTAGACTAGTGAAGCATAATAAAACTTGAACTGCTGCCTGATACCTTTGTAGTAGGGTAGTTATTGAAGCAAATATCAGCCGTATTAGGTCGATCGTTGTAGCACTGTCCATCTGCATTTTATTGATGAAATATGACTTAAACTTTTTAATACGAAATAAACTGCTGATACTGAAGTCAGGCGTTAGTTGACAAAGATTGGCAATCGATGACAAGTAAGCTATAAACCATTTGTTGTCAGAAGTGCAGTAGACAAACGAACCAACCAGATTTTCGTGTGAAGTCTAGTCATGTATTACAGCTAGTTTCATCCTGTGACAAAAGCCCTAATAACATACATAAATACGTCTGGTATCCACATCATAACTCCAGACTAATCATAAGCGTATTTCTTACTTCTATAATAAATCACTTCATAATCGATGGGTAGAAACTTTGAATAACATGGCCGAAAATTGTCCGTAGTGGCGAGGGTGCATCCATTCTTTGTGTTCTTTCAAATCTTAATCTTCTGAATTCCTCATGTCCGTTTTTTCCTCTTTTTTAACTGATTCCTCTGGGGAATACATCTCGAATGATATATGCGATCATTAGTCTCTTTGATCACTGCTAATACTTAGATTACCTCTACTACTATGGGATTTGAATTGAAAATTGCGTCTCTGTGTTAACGTGGTATGGCAACTTGGACAGATGTACGTACGTACGAAGTTATAAGCTGTAACTGACTGATTTCATAAATAAACGGAGACGAAAATTTATGGATGAACCATTTACATTTTAGGTAATCAGTCTAGGACTTTAGCGCAAAATTTATCGATACATAGCTGGTGTTGGTTTATAAAGAAAGCCCCAACTATAATTCATAACCCTATGATTCAACTATGAATTCTGTTGCTAATTGCTCACACTACTTTGTGACCCAAGAGTCGCTAGAAGATCACCCACAAATCGTAGTCTCATTAATTACAGATGTTTCATCAAGTTACTACGCTCGCATCATAACAGGCTCGCATCTAGTCTGAGGGTATTGTGTGTAGTGCGAATGTGGAAGAGTGGACTAGAGGTAAAGACAAGCCCATGACTCAGTAAGTCCACAGAATGCACTTACATGAATTAATAAAGGCAGTAGACAATAATTAAAAACAACACAAACATAAGACCAAGACACACATACGGAACGTGAGATTTGGTAGCGTTAGGTTCGAATGCAACTGAAAGGACATCCTGTGTTAACCTAGTGTCCCTCCAATGTCCAATATCTTAAGGACAAACTATTAGAAATGAAATTATTTTTTCGCGCTTATGTCTTAATTTTATGGTACATTTCCAGGACTTCGGTGGTCCCCATCTCATACTCTTTTCACTCAACAGCAGCACTCAAGAAGAATTTGGAGTTGTAGTGATTTACTTTTACGAAGAAAAAAAACTGCTGAAATATAAACATTCATTATTGTGCTTAATGCTTACAATAACTGTTATACTGCACACCTCTTGTTTATCTGTACTAAAGACTATCTCTCGCGCACCAAGCGTGTTTTCCCAATTCTCGTCTTCGCACGTCTCCTGCGTGGACGTTAGCTTTCTGTACGCCCTCTTGTCTCGATATTATTTCGATATCACGAGGCCAGTATTAAATATACTTTTTCCACTAGAATCTGTTTCTTTCTTGATTCTTTGAGTGTGGGAGTAACATTTGTTCTCCCGCGAAGAGGTATATCGTACGAAACGCTATAGAGCATATACTATTTTCATCAGCTTCATTATCTGGCTCTGCATTTATGAATCCACAGTCTCTGCATCATAAAGCAAACTAGGGAATTGAGTAGTACTGTATCTCAAAACAAAAAAGGTATTGCATCCGTTATTGCTTCGTTACGTTCAAAAAACATCACTTATATATCTGAAAAGTCATTTAAATTCTTTAGGAAGAATCAACGAAGTGTATCAAGCAATATAATCAACAAAATTTCATCGTCGTTTCAATTACTTGCTGAACATGAAGTACACATGTATTGTGCTATTAGGAGAATCTTGTTCATTTTCTCTATTGCTATGAGTATCTTTATTTCCTTCGAGTCATACCAAAAGTCAAGAACAAAAGGATCGTAGGTACAACAGAATATTTTTGGATGTCGAGGAGTGAAACAAGTGAACTAAGCTCGCTAGTTGATAGGACGACATGCATCGCACGTCATGCCGAACTGTGGTCTGACGCGGATGAGTGACAGAGCACTTTCAGCTAGGGAGCATCCAGTGAAACTAATGAAGTCAGCATCGTTTTCAAAGACTAGTAGAACTATTTATTTAATATTACATATTCACGTATGACTCAATCTGACTAAATCTATGTACGCAAGATGGTCTTATTAATTTAGTTGCCGACTTTACTTTCGAATGGTATGATGAGTTTCACATATTCAGAATTGGCCCTGAAGTAACCCTTGACTCGTGAAACCCAGGCAGGTCATAGGTCCGAATAGTTACGTATGTTATGGAAGCAAACAAAAATATATCATCGTTTTAGAGATTTTAATGTAAGGGTACCTAACATTATAGAAACTTCACTTCTCATACTACTGTAGTGGTATACTCTTGCGAAGGAAACACAACTGCTGAAATATAAACATTTATTATTGTACTTAATTCTGACAATAATTGTTATATTGTACCCCTTTTGTTCATCTGTTCAAAGGACTATCTCTCGCGCGGCAAGCCTGTTATTCCCATTCTGTTTCTCCACGCGTCTCCTGACTGGTCGTTAGCCTCGATTTTACTTCGATATCACAAGGCTAGCATTCAATATATTTCTTCATCTATAATCGTCTTTTATCTGATTCCTAGATTAACGGGATTAACATTTGTTATCCCGCTAAGTAGTATTTTATCTCGATTCGCTATACTGCTTTGTTAATTCTAGCTTTCGTGGAGTGTCACTGTTTTCCTAAATCTTTCTAGTTTAAACTTGTTGAGGCTACCAACCTTCTGACATGGATAAATAGGTTTTAGAAATAATAATCATTCCAGTTATAATCCACTTGTATATATCTATCGGAAAGATTTAACAGATCTTCATCTAAAAGAAGAGTTGGATATACTTCAGATGCATACCTAGTTTGGGATGCATTATTCTCTTTATTGTTAGTGGATTTAGATCATACTATGTACAGGTACTTGCAAGGTCACGATCTTAGAGAATGTAAGCTATTCTTCTGACGTAGAATTAAATGATCATAACTTGGTATATATAGACAGTACTAATTTCCAAACGTTTTCTCCCACCTGACCACTCAGTAACGTTGGGTCTTTCATGCATTGAAATGTGTCCTACTGGCCTTTCATGAATTTCTGCCTTATGATGTCACCAGCACGATAAAGGCCAGAGAGGCAATTTTATCTTGAAATTTTTCATGAAAAGTAGTCAAATGACTCATAAGATGATTCCTTGTGTGGATAATGCCAGGGATTCAAACTCTCAACCTTTCAAAAACTAGCGGAAGTTAAGTTACACAATCAGAAGTGGGTATGCAATTGCGTCCGCTTCAAAAAGGAGACTAGCACCAGATAAGCTTATTATCGATGGAGCTGAACTTGACTACATGGGTATTATTCTGCGAAAAGCTCACAGGGAATGAACACATTAACTGGGATCAAGTCGGTCAAGGCATTACAAAATATCCCAGTTGATGGGGGAAATATTCGTAGAGCAGCTGCTAATACACTTTTTGGAGTGCGCGCATTTGTACGCAACTCATTCTGTCTGCGAAGCGTGCAAAAAAGATTTCAAATATTCACAGCTAGTCTTTTTGTGATGGGCTTTTATGTTATCTGTGAATTTGTCCTATTTTACACATATCAAAGGCCAGCAACGTGATTCAAGTAAGAGGCTTTGATTCAGGTTGTATTCAACAGCAAAGAAGAGAGGGGGTTATCATCAAAACAAATAAATATACCGTAATATTAAATATAACGCTAAGTAAGTAAGTAAATACGCACTTCGGATATAATGTTCAAATCTTAACACGTAACCACCTAACCAAGTTAATAATAATGGTAGTTATAATTTACTATTAACTAACAATGTGTGATGCTTGGCAGTGTACAATCAAGATAAAAGTATTTAAATTGCTAACTTATTTACTGCAAACGTTATTCCAGTTAGACGGATATTTAATGAGATACACTGGCTTTTTATAGAGTGCTAATATTTTTCATCTGCAGTTGTTCATGTACCAGATTACAAAATACTGAGAACCGTACCGAAAGAACAAGAATCGAGCTCAAAGCCATCACTCAGCCTATACTGGCTCGTGAATGGATATTGCAGTGGTTGGGGTGGGTTATGTCGGTTAAATTACGGTGAACCACTGCTGTTTGGGAAACAATGCAAGTTAAATCTAGGGCTGTATGTAACAAGAAGTGATGAGTTAAATGTGTAATAGCCTTCTTGCCGAGATTTGGCAGATAAAAATTTGACAGGCTCCTGGGCTAAGCAAATAAGCCTCCAGCAATATGAATGCTAATATTTAACGCGTTGGACGAGGTCCTGAAAAAGAGTAATAAAGAGAAAGGGGCAATAAGCAGAACAGTAAATATTCTTGCTTTAAGTTGAGCCATGACGTAGCAGATAATTTTTTTGGATAAAACAAAGCTGTGTTTATTCAATCCTTTCTTTTGCCGTATTAGAACAGTAACTGAACATCTGCACTTACGCCGGTTATTAGAGACAAGTCATCAGTAAGGTAACGAATAAACTTATAATCATATGAATGAAGGAGACTCAAAAGGACTAAATTATTAGGAAATGTGTTGATTTACAAAATATACTAATGATGGCACGGTGACTTGATACTTTTTGCTGATATTTATATTAATTGTTCTCTGTTATTAAATACCTTTGCTCGAGAAGTTATGGGTGAACTCGTTTTCGAATTACTTGCCCACATCGGCTAATAATAGGATTTCTTGGTAGGCAGTGCAGCCAGTTCGAGGTTACAAATAACCGACAATGAGACTGGTGACGTGAAAAAGCGACATCAATATCAATGATTGTTTACGTCCCGCTATATCGTAAGGAGCCGTAAGTAAAAACATTTTCTGCCCTACAGACATCGGTGGATTCGGGTAATCACCTCACCGTCATGGTTGCTGGTCAGAAACACTTCTCCCTCTCCTTTCGTGATGTTAGGCTCTAGTATGTTTGAGGCATGTTTCAACTGATGTTTTAATCTACGCTCTATTTTTGCATGTCTTGTCACAACATTGTCTCTACCACCTCCAAGCAAACCAGACAGCTCAAGCTCTTGTGTAATGGATGGTATGATCATGTAGCGTATCACACTGACATCAAGTTAACTAACGGTATAAATTGTAAGATTTGAGTCAGTTAATAGGTATATTGGTGATGGGAAGGATAGACAGCTGAAGAAAGAAAATAAAGAAATATAGTATGAAAAATTCATGAGCAGGGCGATAAGTAAGTAAGATAGCAAGGTGGTTAAATGTTAATGAATTGGGACTACAAAAGTTTAGTAGTCTGACAGTACATGAACCAAAAGGAACTCAAAACTATAGAAGGTAGTTTGATATTCTTGTGATCGACTGTAGTCCAGCAGCATCCACATACTTTCTATGTTTATCTGTTCACTAGAAATAAAAACTGAAAGTTCTGTAAAAGGTAAGAAGATAATGATGAGAATTCAAAATTGAAGAAACTCCAAATTTTAGGGTTAGGAGCACAATGGCGTGACGTACCACTGTTGGTAGGAGTAGGGAAATAATGTATTTATCATCTGTTGGTACTTTTATGAATGGCGATGTTGGTACACTATATTAATGGTTTGTTGATAGTTTCTAAGGTTAGTATAGATATCAGGCGGATCACAAAATTGTGCCTAGGGACATAATGTGAGTTCTGGAAATATTTGACGAAACTCTCTAGCGTCCAATAACAGCGTTACTAGTTTCTTGCTGTTTGCATCTGCTTGTGTAGTCAAGAATAAAAATACAGCCTAGTAGTCACCGTCAAGCTGTTGCTCGTATCTTGTCAATAATATTCATTTCTGAAAAGATAAGTAACCAGTATTTAACACGCTGTGGATAGTGATATAGTAAGTAGTTAAATGTGTATAACATACAGATCACTGCTCACGTCTCTCAGCATGCTAGCTGGGATAGGATCTGATCCATCAGTCTAAGATTGTTATCGTGAGTTAACCGCTTTAGAAATATATTGTACACTGAAGCCTACACCGATAATTGCAACGGAAAGTATTTGGGCTGGACTTCCCGTCTAAACGTTAACCAATGGAGCTACCCAACTCGATATATGGCAAGTGCTATTTCTGTCCACCAAATTCAGAGAAATTTGGGCCAAATGAGAAATGGATACCATCAGAGCCAACGCATAGTCTCTATCCTTCAATCTTTTTCAAACTGCAAAGTCCTATAGTGCATGAAAATACAGTAATGTTATTCCTCGTCGGGTTGAAATTATTGTTAGGATTGTTTATTAGGCATCTAAAATACTGTCATCAGTTGGAATGGAATCCTTGCATTTAAATTAGCACAGGTTTCGTTTTTTTTTAAAGTATTTTAGGCATGGGCAGTTTCATGGTATACAAAGATTGTTTATCTGTTTGTTACACTTTTGAACTTAGTAGTTAACGGTTCATTTATGTTCGAGTTACTGGTTTTCGCCTTTACTTGTCTTGCGTCTAGGCCGTCTGAAAATCTCTGTTCGATTAGTGGACGGTGAAAAATAAGTAATCAACAACTCTCAGGATGTAGGTACCCAGTTGACAAATGCATACAGTGTGTTGAGTGCAAAGGATAGTACATGTAGATTTCAAACGGTTTAACAAAAATGAATGTATCTGGTTATGCCGCAATTGCTCCTTGCATGTAAATAGCTTGATACTCTTGGCCAATAGTGAATGCTCCTAAACGACATGTAAGCAAAGGTGACTGAGTTTGAAACACTGATACTCAGACTATCAATATACGTCACCCACAATCGCCCACATACAACAAAATGCAAATTAGGAATCTACATGAACTCTGTGTGATATTATGCGTCACAGTCAGTCTCAATGTGAATGAAAGCATCAGATACTGTGATCGTATTCAAAATTAAGAGTCCGAGAAGATTTAACTGAAACGAGGATTCAAAACAGAACGAAAATCGAGGTTAGAGGCAGGCGAGAAAAACCTTAGAATTGTAAATTTTCACTTGATGATGTTTCGACACAAAACCAACAGAGAAACTGATTTTGAGAATTTCACATTAGCTAGAGCAGACAGAACCAAGAAGCAGAAAGGAGGACAGCTGACCTACACTGAAAATATTATTCCCTTTTGAGGCGGTCCACAACATATCCGGTGGAAGTGGAACGTACAAATTAGTTGGTTGACGCTTGAAGTGCAAGCGACACGATATGCTGGTTAATTTGGTTTCCTACAGTTTTGAACGGTGAGTTGAATGAGGTCTTAGTGAATATGTACAACACTTGATCTTTAAGTGGGAACTTTAATTAATCTACAGTAGACTGAAGAAATCTAAATACAGAATTATCCGAAAATTCTTTCAAAATAAACTAGTTACTGTTGTTATTACTGACGTTTTAGTAAAAGATCTGACGAAATAACTAGGTACGATCTGGAATCCGAATCATCCTAACTAGATCTCATTTAGACTCAAAATGGGGATGATATCACAAACCTCGATCATATGCAACGCCTAAGAGAGAGTGACCAAGCAGTTTTAGTCTTTAAGTACCATATTGTCATCAAAAGCGATGTATCAGCTGAAGTTAGGATAAACGTTACGAAAGCAAACATGGTAAAAACCATACACTCAGCGGTTCCTGTAAATTGGCATCTCCCATTGAATCGGTTTCAGGAGTATCCATTAATTTGTATGCAAGATCCCAGGACTTAAAAAGAGTCCGAGAAGTTCCTCACCGTCGCTCAGTAAGAAGGTTTTCACCCTTCTCCGTAAGAGGGAAAGAATGTGGGGGGAATTTGGTATACTAATGAATCAATATCTTAACATTGGGAAACGTGAAATATTTGTGCCTCAAACCTCCACAAATCTAGGAAATTGCATGAAAAGAACTTGTAAAGGATTCCAAACAGCACTCTAAACGCTTATATTCGTATTTGAGCTGGAGGTCTAAGATGATCAGTAACATCCCGGTATTACGAAGAGATAGTACTACAAGTAGTATTAATGCAAGACGAGTGATAGCTACCGAATGATATAGAGCCATATGGTCAATATAACTAGCCTTTAGCCACGTCGATGCTAAGTCAAGTTGGACTATGAAGAATCTACTCGTTCGTACTAAACTCAAGTATTGAAAACAAGCAGCGAACTGTAGCCTAGAAAAAAGAGTAAGAGCTGTGTGAAAACATCAAGTCGAGGCGTCCACTTGTCAGTGTGCTTGCATAAGAACAGTAACGTGTGAATGCCGATATAGACACATATATTCCGAATATCAGAACTATCGACCTGTTATCCTGACCAGTGTGGCTGTGTAGATTTTAGAAATAAAAATTAAGAATTGTCTAGATCGTTTCCACAAACTACCAGGGTCTTAGAACTGATCAAACAAGTCTCATAAACTTATTCAAAGCCCGTTGAAGTTGTTGCACGCTTAAAATTAAGAGCTAGCTAAACATGAACTACGCATCTGATTTGTGGTACCGGGATTGGAGGTAACTTATTTATGTGGGTTAGAGACTTCCTGTTCAGACGTCGATAAAGAGCACTGGTTAACTGAGTTATTTAGCTGGGAAAATGAGCTTAAAATAATATCTCTTGGTACAGTTTAGTGCATGATCCTGTTCCTTCTGAATGTAGACGACTTTTCTAGTCTCCTATCATCATCGGTTTTGTCTCATGCTGACGATATCAAAATAAGTAGTGCGATAGGAAATGAAGGTGATAGTTTGGGTCTTCAGTGTGACCTGCATATACTGTGTGAATGGTCTAGAATCTGGTAGTTGCCAACAAATGCACTGAAGTGTAGTATGATGCATATTCGTCACCAAGGTACATATTGATACACGGTGGATGGCACGCAATTATCTGAGAGTCACCGTCAGCTAAGACTTGAAAGCTACAACATGCAGTCGTGCAACATCCGCCGAAGGGTTTGGAACCCTATGATCAGTACGTAGAACCTTTAGCCATGTCAATGCTAAAATGACTGTGAACTGTCAGAAAAGGTTCCGAGAACCTCGGCTAAATTGTCAGATATAGGGAGATGGGCTTACTTCGATCAATTTTTTTATGATCTGTAGAGACCATAGACGACTTGATCTCAGATTCTAGATTAACTAGTGATAAATTTGCATCTGATATTGTCTAATTTTTCTCATCGTCCAAAGCACAGAATTTACGGGAATACATTAAGCATATTCACAAGCTAAGAACAAACGACCTGGTAACTAGTGGAACCGGTTACCTCACCACCATCTGTAAACTCACTGAAAAAAGTTGGTTCGACTGGGACAAACTGAGGCCACCAAGTCTCCTATCATTTCCAGACTGAAACTAATGTTTAGGTTTTGTTCAAAAAAACTTTTTGATTCGCCTACATTTTGAACGGAGAATGTCACCTATAAATTTTGAATACAATAAGGAGATCATTAAAAAATTAGTGAACTTCAAGTCTTATCGGAAAGTCGGTTTGATTTCAGTTTTTTTACTGATGTCCCATTCATTTGTACCGCTTCGTTTAAAAACATTCGGTGATGAGTGTTGACTGGTCAGGTATGATAGTTTTTCCACTTATTTGGTTTACCGTCATGTATTGTAAACGGAATCGTCACTAAATAGGTAACAGTTTTAGAGTGATAATTATAATGGAGTTGCAATAGTGTCACGTAGATGGGTACACTTGATTTCGAGATTCCATAAACTGATTGATTTGATACGTTGTTATGGAGGAAATGTTCTGAAAACTTAGCAGTTACACGTGGCTATAAAAGCTTGTGGATCATTCAAACGTGTGGTGGCTATTCGTTTCTTATGCTTTTACAGTCACTGTTCTCGACTATGAATGTTATAAATGGTGTGGTCTTAGTTGTTCCATTGCTGATCTTGCTTTATTATGTAGTTTTATGCTCCGAAAGAGCGGTTGCGCTGTTTGATATGTACGAGTTTAGCTTTCACCCTACTGAATACAGTTACCACCATTTGTGTTCAATCATCCTGTCACGGACATTATTTTTAGTAATTGGCTAATAGCCTCTTTTTGTAAACGCTTCGAACTGTCTTTTGTGGAACAGTGGAGCACTAATTACTGCTCTTCTATAGTCTGGAGTTCGAAGAGGGTTACTTTAGAAATCCGCCGAATTAATGTCTCTGTATTTCAAATATTGCGATACTGTGGGCAGATGTTAGCCGTCCTCCGACTACCGTATTTTAGACAGGATTCCACCGGTGGTTTGTCAGATAATGCACCGAGCTGAGATGTAATCTTTGTAAGGATTGAACGATGCGGCCTACCTAAAGCTGAATTCGAAAGCACCTGATTCATAAACAGGACGAAAATTTCCAACATCGTGGGCAATAACGTCAGGCAGTTGTCAAGACAACTTCAAATCATAGGAACATGAGTTGTGACTACACAGCATCTTTGTCTAACAAGTTGGTTGATTACACTAACCTTCGTAATATGCTTTGGTAAAGTCGAGGAGAGTAGTATGGAGTGAATGTAACTGTACTAGTGCGGCGGATTCTTGAGGTCATTCATATATTTAGTAAAGAGCAAGTTCCCATACATCATGGACAGCTACGATTGGCTCTGGTATGAGTGACAGTATTAAAATGATTAGTCATGAAGAATAGATAACACAGACTGGCGGTTTAAAAGGTATGGACAATTTTGGAACTCAAAGGTAAATGCATTATGTCAGTTCAAAGGTGACTGATTCTGAGTCATGCAACTCAGTCTACCACCACCAGTCGTTAATTCCTATTGGTCCCGCAGGTGGCATGCATCTAACGGTATGGCTCAGTAGGTCAGTCAGTTACGACGTAAAACTTCGTACGTACGCACATCAGTTCAGGTTGCCGTACCGCATTAACACAGAGACGCAACTGTCAGTACAAATCCCATGGTGGTAGCGATAGCAGAAATATTAGCGGTAGTGCAGAAGATTACGGTTCGAAGATATGATTCAAGAATTATAATTCTGAGATAAAGTTAGAAAGAAAAAGATAAGGGTGATGAGGAATTCAGAAGGATAGAATTTGAGGGGACACAAATTGTGGATGCACCTGCGCCATTGCAAATGATTTTGAGCCATGTCGTTCAAGGTTTCTAACCATCGAATATTATCATCTCGCGGACCCCAACCAGGCAGTCGACACCTACCAAAATGACTCAGTCCACTTGTCGGTGATTTCATGGATTTGTGCCATGTTTTAGTTTGGCCGCACCTAGCTGTCTTCCAACCTACTCCTACACAAAACAGCTCATCGAGGCAGTCAGTGGTTTGGCATACGTAACACATGCGACAACCACTTCATCTATTGATATGCCATTCTTACCTAACACCCGTTTCCTAATAACAGCATTGGTTGAACGGTTGTCCTAGGATACATGAGAAATGTTTTTAAGACATTTATAATCGAATACTAATAACCTACGAATATCTACTCTGATTGGCCATGTTTCACAGACATAAAGTAGGACGTAGCAAACTACTGCGCCGTACACTCGTCCTTCGGTTATTAAACGGATATCTCGCCTTCGACATAAGTGACGCAGGTTGGCAAAAGCCAATCGAGCCTTCTGTATCCGTGCCGAGATTTCTTCAGTTATTAGGCCATCAGCACAGATGACACTACCGAGATAAATGAAGCGGTCAACACGCTCAACTGCTTCACTCCCTATCGCTAGTTCAGGTACCGATGAAACCCAACCTTGAAGTAGCACTTTGCATTTCGAGGGGGAAAACCGCATCCCGAACATGCTTGCATTGTTGCTTAGGGTGGTCAGAAGACACTGCATTTTGTCTGCGTTTTCACAAAATAGAACTATGTCATCAGCATACTCTAAGTCAGCAAGTGTGTCCCTTGGTAAAAGGCTTACTCCTGAAGATTCAGACGATGATAATGTTATGTCTAGAAGCATATATACGAAAAGTTAAACAAACATGGAGAAAATGGACAACTCTGACGACACCACTTGAAGTAACTAGTTCCGATGAAGTTTGCCATAAGCTTTCGCTCGACCAGTGGTGTTCTTGTAGAGAGCCTGTAGAAGGTTAATGTACTTCTCTGGTACACCTTTCAATGGCAGACACTGCCACAGTCGAATGCCGCTTTAAGGTCGAGAAATACTACCATTGTGGGGCATCTGAATGTGTCTTTGTTCTAGGACCTGACTTAGTGTGAATATTTGGTCTGTACATCCACGTTCAGGTCGAAAACCGGCCTAGTTTTCTGTAGTCTGCTCTTCATGAGCTCTAGTTAGGCGTCTAAGCATTATCGAACCTAACAATATAGAAACTATATTAGTTAGACTGATTCTCCTGTGACTGTCACAAGAGGACTTTTGTCCTTTGTTGTAGACTTGAACAATCTTTGATTGAGACCAGTCAGATGGTATTACGTCCAGTTCCCAGATTCTACCTGAGATCTCGGTCAGTCTAACTGTTAAAACTGGACCGCCCTCCTTAAACATCTCAGGGATAAGCCTATCAGGACCTGCTGCCCTACCTCGCTTTCGATTTCTTATAGCTTTCTCAACTTCATACAAATTAGGAGGACTTAAATCGACTTGCCATTCAGGATGACTGGTGATCGTGGGTGTTCCTTGAAGTGTTCTGCCCATTGGTCCAATCTCCTGGATTGAGAATGAATGATACAGCCATCCTTTTCCGAGATAGTCTAACTCACATTTGGATTCCTAATGATGGCTTTTTTGATGAGTCTGAATAGTTTTCTGCTGTTGCATATTGTCTCTGTCTTTTTGGTCGCGATCATTGCGTAGGCTTTTTATCAGCTTGCGCCTAAGCTAACTTCGCTCTTCATCATGTTCAGAGCCAGGTCGAATGAGTTTACGAGCGTCTATCAGTTCGGTGGATGCTACTGAGATTCACAGCTTCCTAGACACATGGTTTACCTTACTAGCAGATATCACTGCTGTTTCCACAGATTTTTTGATATCATTCCAAGCTACCCCCGGATGAAAATCGCCTGTTTTTCCTAGTTGCTCCTGAAATATATTCTTAGTTTTATTATCAGTAAGTAGAACCCTAAGAGGTTTCCTTGCGGTGTTTTTCGTACGTCCAGTAAGCCTGAAACAAATACGCGCTCGCTCTAGAGCATGATCTGAATCTACACGTGCCCCAGAACGAGCGACAATCCTCTATCGAGCCTCTCCATCGGTGCTGATGACTATGTGATCTAGCTGGGTCCAATGTTGAGACGACTTCGGGGGTCGCCAGGTCGAAAGGTGTTTTTTTGTGCTTAAAGTTAGAGTTTGTTAGCAATAGGCGGTAATCTGACCACAGTTACAACATACGGTCGCCATTGTTCTCTGAGCCGCGACACCATAAGATCCACCCAGGTCTTTCCTCACTTAATCTACTTGCTTGATCATTGAAGTCTTCAGCCATTATAACTGTATCATAGCGCCTAAATTTTTGGAGGAGGTCTGTAAGCTTCCTGTAGAACTCATCTTTCACCTGGTCTGAACTGCAGTCAGTGGAAGCGTAGGTGGAGACAAAAAAGAGGCTGCGGCAAGTGTCCCTATCTTTCCGAATCCTTACTGTCCTGTCCATTCCGACAGCGCACAAGCGACTATCTACAGGGATCCAGTCTAGGAGAGCTAGTTCTGCTCTAGGACTCAATGCTATACCTACACCAGCGAGACCCTTGGAAGCAGTATCAGGGCTTCCAGATACACAGAGAGTAAATCAAGCTGCTTCGTTATTTTGACAAGATGAAATCAAATTAATGATTTTACTAGGATCCTGTATGCACGTTTAGGAGACGCAGCATACATCGATTGAGCGAGATTCTAAAGTTCTAGCTCATGAAGCCTGTTGCCCTATTTGACACAATGTCCGTACATTAAATGCTATAAACTGTAGTCTAGAACGGGGTTTCAGGAGACCAGGGATGACGTTTCGTGAACTCGCATCGTTTGCATTAGCTGTGCATTGTGATAAAGGAATGTGAGAAGAGTTAGGGGGTTTATCGGGTGTAGGATGGATTTGATTCTGACGAATTTGGTCTGGCGTGCTGTTACGGGTATGAGGGCGGATGTCACTTCCCGGCCGCCCACACTGTGGGAGGTTGTTTCTTTAGGAACCTGTAAAGGAAGGTAGATTAGTGTCGGTCTTGGTACCATATTGAGATATTGGCAACCGTACAAGCGACTTGTATTATGTTGTACGGTTTATGCACAATACCGTTAATTGCGGTTTTTAGACGATTTACTGTTGTCGGTTGTTGTAAATATAAATGATTCTTTGAATATTCACAGATATTTTTTGAATGTCGCTGACATGTTTTGGGTCCTTTTAACAAATGTAGTTTCGTGATCTAACAGTGGAATATCTTTGATACCTTCGTGCGTCGTGCTAATAATTCACTACTCCAACTTCAATACTGTTAACGCAATTACTATCCTCTTTTTCCTGTCGTTCTCACTGAAGTAAAAGCTTCAGTTTCTGAAATGAGTTATTTTCTGATGTTTACTTTTTGTAATCAGTCAAAGTTCACTAAATTTATCAATTATCTATCAATGAAAAACGTATTCGAACATTTAAACTGAGTATGCATCGTAAAAATGTATTGAAATTCGGTAAACAATGTCCATACTGAATATTTTACTGTCAGAACTACAATCTGATCGATATAATTTACTTTACATAAGTTGTCATTGAAGATTGTACATATCCAAGAATCTTTCACTATCAGTTTATTATCGCGCAATACTAATAACCTACATGCTGCATTTTGACGATTTTATAATCTTTCGTATATTGTACTTGTGTTTCATGTCAGTGTTGTTATTCAGGAGTGATGTAGGTCCCATAGATGTTAATTAAAGCACTGAAGTTAACTGCACTTTTTAGGGTTCCTATTAGCTATCAGATGTAGTCGGTTTGTTAACTGTGTTTGCATGAATATTCTCTTTTTTAAATTCTGGAAGAAGAATCTGTTGATTGTGTACTGAAAAATGTATTCACTTCAGTGGGATGGCTGTACATTTATATTAGATTGAACTTTTCAGTGGAGGTAATACACTATTTAGCAATAAAAGTGTAGTTGACTACTACTCATCATTGCAGGAAAACTGATGTTTTGAAAATAGTAGACTTTAATTAAAATACTAGTTCTTAAATATTTTGTTAGTATTTGAGGTACATTGCATATCACTTTATCATTCTCAGGAACTTATTTCTCACTTTAGGTGTTGCTATTTGTGTTTATGACATGAATCTTAAACTCCCAACATAGTAACATATGGATGTCCAAACTGGCCACTGTGAGTGGATTGCTCCGTCCAACACAAATACATCTACGGAGGAACTTATTAGCTCCATCGCCAATTTAAGTTTCGAAGAAACCCGTTTGCTTTGGGGAAATAGTGGATATACAAATGTATCTACTCAAGATGTTCTTGGAAGTCGCCCACCATTCAGTGCGACACCGTGGGATATGTCTTCGAACCATGCCACTTCGAATTCTATACCGATGGTTTGCTGTCGTCGTGACAAGCCAAACCGTGCAATCCCAGAATCTAATCTGAGTGATGGGAGTATTTTGATGTCTCCTGGGTCAAAGGACATGGTGGCTTTGGGGATGCAGATGGCAGATCACGTTTTGAGTAACTCTCCAGGAAGTAATGGTAAGTTTTGAAATAAATAATCATTGTTTTTTGGCAGCTCAATTTTTGAGAGACATTTCTGAAAACTTGTCAAATGCGTTTCCTCCACGTCCAGCACCTAATTCACTCAATGGATCTCAGTCTGTTACATTAAATTCTTATCAATATGATTCAAACGTAAGATCAATCCTTCCTGGTGAGTCAGATGCTTTGCATCAAAATCCACTTCAGTCTGCAGCTAATGGATTAATTTCCAATTGCTTTAATACAGCTCAATACTATATGCGTCCATCAACCACAACCCAGTCTCTACAACAACAAATCCCTTATCCAATTATCCCTAATAGATCGTCGGAATATGTGCATACAAAAAGCTTTACTCCAGAATCAATTAGTTGTGAACCATGTAATTCTATTCAAGCTGAAAACTTAATACCTTATTTCATTAACGTTCCAGCAAATACAGATCCTTCGGCGTCCAACATACCTGCAGAAACTTTCAGTATGTTTACCGGTTCCCATGTGAATCGAGATCAACAAACAGCAAACCAGTCTGATAATACAACCCACTTAGTGCCCGTCATTCCACAACCGGACCACATCAGTAGTCTACATCCTATGAAGTATAATTCCACAAACACTAACGGGGAACATAAAAGCCAGTCATTCAATCCTTATCTAGGTGGTGCATTTTCTGGTGTAAACCAACTCAACACATGTGTAGATTTTAATGGTGACTTTTTGACAAATCCTTCGTTTATTAGTCATGTTTCTTTAGGTTGTAGTGAAGGCTACCTGCCAACATTTATTCGATCTAATGGGCCTCCATCACGGGATATAAATAACTTGGGAGGTTGTTCAACTTGTCCTTCTATGAATCAAGATTTTTATATGCATGGGAGTTATAATAATCTTGGAGGCAACCGAACGGTAGAACATACTCCCTCTGCACATACTACTAGCGGATTAGTTACGAATTCTCCTTATGGTAAGTGTTTTCTTTGAGAAGAAATTTATTCTAAGGTTTTCCGTGACATTGTGTGGTCGCTTACTTTGACCACAGTTCATATAATGTTCGTCATAGTTGTAACCATATAGTGATCCCTGCTACCTAAATTTGTTGGTTACTTCTCCATGTTTGACCTACTGTGATCCAGACAGTTTTTTTACTTTAGACCCCATTTTTGGTTAACCCAAATGGTAAAGCAAAAATTTAGTATATTAATTTAGATAATTTTTTCACGATTCAAAGCTGTGCATAATCACCGTACCCAAATGTAACAACAGTGGAATACCTTCTTTGAATTGTTGCTCTGTTTGTTATTAACTTCTCAATCTGATGAAAGTTGGTTGTAAGAACCGATCATAAGATGCATGAGTTTGTCAACGAGTAAAAGTTGACAAAATTTAATAGAATGAACTTTCCATATGCGTCCAGTTTCTCAGGTTTTTCAAAAAGCAATCTTCGGTACACAATTAGCCAGTCGTGAGCTGTGTGATACCTGGACCAGGTTGTTCATAAGTTGCTGAAGAAAAACTAGTGAATATGTTGTAGAAAACAAGAATTTCAGGTTGATGTTTACAGTAGAATAATTTTGATATCCAATTCGCTTTTTCGTATCATGTGTGGTTCCTGGCTTCATACTGATTTATCATTTATGTATGGACGACGAATTACTGGCTATTTAGTGATTTAAACCAACTGTACGGATACAAATGTATTTTACAAAAATATTAAGCAGCATATATATATATATCATAAATGTAGTTCCGGTGAGGTTTGCAAATGGAGATTAATTTAACGAAGATGAATTTAATCTACAATGACATACCAGTATTCTCGAAATAAAAAACAGAAATCTCTCTCACACACACCAAAATTACCGAGTTCTACTTGTTAACATCAATGAGCATTGATTATCATCCATTAAGATTTAGCGATGATAGTCAACAAGTGCTGACACAATAATTTAATGTCAATCCATTCATCAATCTTTATCTTTCCTCTTAGTTTTAAAGTTAATTTTATTTGTTTATTCTGTGAAGCTTTACTTTCATCTCGAATCATATTGTCCCTATCTGTTATTTCTTTTCTATTAACACTGATAATACTGATACTGTTTTGGTTTTCATTTTATTAATTTCATGTCATTGCTTGGATGTAGTATATGGAATTTTGAGCCAATACATGATGGTATTTAGTTATTTATTGCACATGACTAACTGACGTCTCTGTGTACACACTGGTGTTTACGAGTGTTTCAGACTACAATTTTAACCTTCGTTTCCAAAAGTTACTATAGTTGGGCTCTTGATCTGTGTTATACCTATAATATGTGTCAAAAAAGAGCTAAAACAAAAAGAAACGATAACTGTTTTGAAAAGAGTCTAAACATGCAAGTCAACTTCAGGACATTTAGTTCAATTCTTCAAAGTCAAAATATGACTATTAGCACAGTGAGATGTTAGAGTAGTAAAACTAGTAACAGTATTGGTGGTAGTAGAAACGATTAGGGGTAGCATCTATGATTCAGGGAAAAATATGGATCGATGGGCTAACGAAGGAACCTGAAATCTGTAAGATTGTGTTCGAAAACATACTGAAGAAGCAAGTGTTAGATCTATTTTCATCAAAAACAAGTAAGCACTCCTGAAGAGTTTATTTTGTATTCATCAATACACATGTACATTATTTTTTATATATTCTCGCTTTTCTTTAGGTTCTGTACAATATGGGCCACAGAAGTTTCAACACACTCTTTACCCTAGATGCGTGTCTCCAGTTCCAGGTGACCAACCGATTATACAGGTACCTAATTGTCCTGGTGTAAACAATTATACAATGCACCCAGTTGATACAATAAATACTCAGCCTCCTATGGTCAACACATTGGTAGGACCGCAGTTTCTTGGACCATCAGTCAATGGCCATGCACAAAATGGGACCACTTTTCAAAATTTACCTTCCAGTGGCTTATATCAATCTCTTATTCAGCAGAAGGATCCTTCTGTACATATCCAGGCTCAAGCTGTTCAGCCTGGTTCAAACGATCAGCAACAACAGCAACAATCGGCAGCCTTATTTGCACACACCATTCAGTTGCTAGCAGCAGCTGCAGCCAGAAATATGGGTACTGGATCACACGATCTTCATGTATCTGGTGTTGGGTCAAATAACAATGGATCTGTATTAAATTCTGTTGATTTCAAGTGTTTGAGACCTCCAGGTGTGACTGCAGAAGTCCCATTTACTGCACCCATACTACCAGATCACTTGCAGGTAATTTCTTGTGTTAGAGCTTATTTTCTGTTTTGCTTTGGTGTACATATTCTAACACTGAACTTCAAACTTGAAAAAAATGATGTGACAATACTCGTTGAAAGTACACTCTAGGATGTTTTCACACACATGTCAGGTTACTTCCAATGCTTTATTTTATAAATTCTAAGAAAAATTCTAATATCTTAATTTATATGATCAGTTGGAAATTTATAATTAATACAAAATTACACTATGTTTGACTCCCTTAGTATAATATAAAATTCCGAGAAGTGTTGCTCAACCATTTGCGTTTAGTTTCTAGAAAATCAATTTTCTTCATATTCTTGTTTCTCTAAGTGAATTTTTGCTAGAGAATTATAAAACAGTACTGTCGGCAACTGTTTGGACAAAGATTTGGTCGACCAACCAGCTGATTTCCACCTTGGAATATGCAATTTGTTATATTCTAAGCAACCCATCAAATCAACGGCAATTATACTGAGTTATGTACATAACGTGCGGACCTAGTTGGGCTTCTGTGTGACAATTGTAACTAGTGATTAGAGACTATAAATGATTTGGCTGAAAATCGTTTTTGCAATGCATCCATTCTTTGTCTTGCCTTGAAATTCTAAGTTTCAGAATTCTTCATTATCTTTTTTTTCAATGGTTTATATTTTTCATGAATTTCATTTTTGATCCCTAATCTTTTCCATTATTACTACAAATAGTTTTAGTACCTCTACTATTCTGGGATTCATCCTGAGAATTTCACCTCTATGCTAATCGGGGGCATCGCAACTTGAACTGATGTATGTACGTAGCAGGTTCTACGTTGCATTTGACTGACTGACTGAAGTAATCTATAATTTAAGACTGCAGTCGATGTGTAGTTTTAAAAACACTTTGATGAATTAGGAGCTACATTAAGCTATGGATAGATCTTGGGTTATACTCAAATACTTTCATAAGTGCATTTTAATAACTACTTTCTTGAGTTAGCTTCCACAATTGCTTATTCTTGATTCTTGTGGCGGTTGTCTTTGTACTATTATGACAAATAACTGCTTTGTTGTCTGTGGACGTATCTTACCAATTTTAGATGGATGCAATTAACTCTAATATTGACAGTCTTTTATTGTGCTATTTAAGATAACATTAACATTGATGACTTTTCATATGTTACATTTTATCTTTCAATTAATCTCTTTGTAGGGATATGCGAATAATTCTTGTATACCTGTTAATGCAATAGAAAGTCCGGCTCCCCGTCATCCCCATTCCACCTTGGATTTTAAATCAATGTGCTCATCGGTTCCTGCTCCTTGTCCACCTATTTCATCATCTATCCTACCATCTGTTCATTCACAAAATATTTTCCCGCAAACTGATGTTGCTACTCAGGAGTTTCAGCCTGTCGGTTTGGGTTATACTGGACTGTCACCTCTAAATCCAGTGGGCGATCATTTGCTTCGACCTTCCAATGCTTTCCCAAGACCTACACTACCGTTGTCTTCCAGTCGTATGCCTTATATTCCTTCAAGTGTTACAGACTCTCAATCACCTCCTAGAACTTTGACCACAATAGCTGGTCCAAGAATTAGTGTGCCACCAGTCCTACCGAGACCTCAGTTAGCTACTTCAACTATGTATACTTGTCGAAATAACGGCCCTCCTCCTTTTCCTTCCATGCACACACCTCGCTTTCCGTCACGTGGTCCAGCTAGTTTTCCACAACTGAACCTAGCATTCATGCCTCCACCGCTTCCGCCTTATCCTCATCATTTGCATCAACCACCACCTGTTCTTCCACCGCCTGGTTTTCTACCATCAGCTCACTCGCATCGCCCTACTGAGACTAGTAGCTCTTCTGGCCCGTTTAATAATAATACACCACCTTCAGAAAACAAATCAGTTTATAATAGTAAATTTCCTAAAGATCACAATCATGGTACGACACCTCATCAATCCAACACCCCTGCCTCAATGATGACACTCACGTTTGCAGCTGCCCAGCAACAAGGCTCAGGAGTAAATCCAACTTTCGGGATAAGACACCCATCACACACTTCTCATTTTCAACCACCTTCGTACTATGGTTTTTCTGCTGATTCAAATGCAACTTCCACTCTCCAACCAAATTCTTCGTATCTTAGTCATTCCAACCAATCGCTACCTACTAATAACATGCTGCAGTTAGGAACCACTAATAGTACTGCTCCAGAACGTAGTCGTTTATTGGAAGAGTTCCGGTAATGTTTTTCCTCGTCTTGATTACATTTTTCCCATTGTTGTTTTTTATTTTATCTGTGTGAAATTAAAAGCTGAAATAGAAATAATTTCCTTAGTAGAATAAGGCTTGTTAACTGTGGTTTTAAATAATATAACTATTTAATTTTGCTTAAGTAGAACACTTGTTTTCAATCATCGTATGTTTTTGTCTGATAAATTTCAAAAGACATAATAGTCTGAAGCACTGTATTTCTTCCAACTAAACAGCTACTAGAAAGCAATCATAACTTATTAATATGTTGCCCGTTATGTTGTTATCCAATATAATTTAATGTAGTTGAAGTTCTTGATATAATACCCATACCAACTCATATCTTTTCAGATTAAAATTGCATTCATGTGTGTTGTAATATTTCATGGTTGAATGTAAAGTTTGTTTGCTTGAAGTTCTCAGTTAATGAAATAATAAACGGTGTTATACTTCATATGAAAATCAGTTAATGAATTCAAAGTTGCATTCTTGTTTTAATGAAAATGACATAACACGACGTATAATGGCTACGCATAAATCTTTTAAAAGTTGGATTTGTGATTTTTTTTATTGTTCTCGCTATTCGAAGTACATGATTCTACCACTTGCCAGATATACTTCATGTTGGTTATTGTATACTAACTTAACACAACTAACTACTTTGGTGAAATACACGAAATATCACGAAAACCATGCTAGTTTTTAACATCCTTTATCTTTGACGAATTTAAATATATATTTGATGAAATCGTTAAATGGTGTAATTTTTCATCTAAACAAAACTTTCTTGTAAAAGTGGGCAGTATATACATGGGTAGATACTCTTCATTGAAATGCTAACTTCCTATTTATAAATGATCACATCAGAGTTTTGTGGTGTAAGAATAGGTTGAAAAAAAGCTAGGGGCGGCCAAACCAAAACACTGCAGAAATCCATGAAGTCACTGACAGGTGAACAGGACCGTGTTGGTAGATGTCGGCTAATCTGGTTGGGGTCCGCGATACAATTGTAACTGATGTTTAGCAACCTTGAATGACTTGGCTCAAAATCGTTTGCAATGGCGCAGGTGTATTCATTCTTTGTGTTGCCTCGAATTCTAATCTTCAGAATTCCTCATCACCTTTATCTTTCTCTTTTTAAATTTGACACTAAATTACACTTCTTGAATAATATATTCGAACTCCAATTTTCTCCATTACTGCTAATACGTCTACTTACTACATTGTATATAACTGATGACTGTGACATTTGTCTATAAGTTTTTTGACAGTTAATTCGATTCTCTGATCGGGCATTCAGTAGATACTAATGATTAAGTTAATTCTAGCCTATAAATCTCATCACTTAAATATTCTATTGAATTTTTCAATTAAGTATCAGATAATAATCCAACTCTAATTTATCTGCCTACTACTACTACACATTAGATTAAAAAATTTGTTTGTTTCGGTCATCATTTTATTGCATATAATTCAATTTATATTTTGATTTTTTTCATTTAGTAATTCTCGATTACCGTGTTTAACATTGCATGATTTAATGAATCATATTGTGGAATTTGCTCAAGATCAATATGGTTCACGTTTTATTCAACAGAAATTAGAACAAGCAAGTGTTGTAGATAAAACTAGCGTGTTCCGTGAAATTCTTCCTTACGCGTATAATCTAATGATTGATGTATTTGGAAATTATGTCATACAAAAGTTTTTCGAATTAGGAACACCGGAACAAAAACAAGTAAGTTTTTTTTAAAAATTGATTCACTTCACTGTTTCACATGTTGTGTTGACCAATTTCGACTGTTTGTCCAAGGCTTTTGGCTACTACTACTACTACTGACTACATACTATTGTATTTTTTTTGTTTTACAGAAATAGTGTTACTGTATAATGACCGTGTTCATGACTATGTTCATGGTTTCAATTATTATGATTCTTTTGCATTCAACTTGCCTTGTCAAAAAATATAATTCACTATCTGTTCCAGTCGTATTATGATTTTGGAGACTATTTGTGCATGGTAGTGTACTGTAGAAGATAGCTTGGTCATATAAATGATAGAATTAACAGTTATGTTATATTTCAACGTCACTCCTTTACGTACTCAGATCTGAACAGCAAAGTTGCATCATACACCGCTTGTAACATAGTTTACGGTTGATGTAGTAATGTAGTATGATACATAGTTAAACAATTGTGTTAGCAACAAACTGCAATAGTCGAAATTAGTCTACACTGAAAAACTTTCAGATGCAGTTTAAATTCATATTCAGTACATTGTTTAATTACTAGTTTTACTTGTTCTATCTTTAATTGCATAGTTTCAAACCATGCATAGTCTGCATATCTCAATTAGGAAATTCAGTCAGTCAGTCAGTCAGTCAGATGCAACGTAGAACTTCGTACGTAAGTACATCAGTTCATGTCGCCATACCACATCAGCACAGAGATGTAATTGCCAATTCAAATTCAATGGTAGAAGAGGTAGTAAAGGTATTAGAAGTAATCGGAGAGGTTAGGATTAGAAGATATTATTCAAGAAGTATGATTCAGTGAGGAAAGTTTAGAAAGTCAAAACTAGAGGTGTTGAAGAATCCAGAAGATTAGGATTTGAGAGAACACAAAGCATAAATGCACCGGCGCCATTGCGAACGATTTTGAGCCATGTCATTCAAGGTCTCTAACCATCGATTATTATCATCTCGCGGACCCCTACCCGGTAGCCTACATCTACCAACATGACTCAGTCCACTTGCCAGTGACTTCATGGATTTCTGCCATGTTTTGGTTTGGCCGCCCCTAACTTTCTTCCAACCTATTACTACACTACAAAACAAAGCTCGTCGAGGCAGTCGGTGGTTGGGCATACGCAACACATGTCCCAACCACCTCAACTGATGAAGTTTCACAACTTCATCTATTGATCTGCCATTCTCACCTAGCACCCGTGTCCTAATAACAGCGTTGCTCACTCAGGTGTCCCACGATATACGAGCAATGCTTCGAAGACACCTATGATCGAAAACCAATAACCGACGAATATCTTCCACTCTCACTGGCCATGTTTCACAGCCATAAAGTAAGACGGAGCGAACCACTGCACAGTACACTCGTCCTTTAGTCAGCAAACGGATATCACGCCTGTGCCATAAGTGACGCAGGTTGGCAAAAGCCAATCGAACCTTCTGTATCCGTGCTGAGATTTCGTCAGTCACCAGGCCATCGGCGCTGATGAGACTACCAAGATAAGTGAAGCGGTCTACACGTTCGACTACTTCACTCCCTATCGCTAGTTCAGGTGCCAATGCAACCCAATCTTGAAGCAACATTTTGCATTTCGAGGGAGAAAACCGCATCCCGAACATGCTTGCATTGTTGCTTAGGGTAGTCAGAAGACTCTGCATTTTGTCAGCGTCTTCACCAAGTAGAACTGTGTCATCGGCATATTCTAAGTCAATAAGCGAGCCACCTGATAGAAGGTCTACTACTGAAAATTCATACGAGAATGAGGTTATTTCTAGGAACATGTCTATGATAAAATTGAACAAGAATGGAGAAAGTGGACATCCCTGACGGACACCACTTGAAGTAAAGAATTCCGGTGACAGTTCGCCATAAGCTCTCACTCGACCAGTGGTGTTTGAGTAGAGAGCTTGTATGAGGTTAATGTACTTCTTTGGTACACCTTTTGATGACAGACACTGCCACAGAACCTCACGATCCACAGAGTCAAATGCCGCTTTTAGGTCCAGGAAGACAAATATTGTAGGCTGTGTGTCTATGTTCCAGGACCTTTCGTAGTGTGAAGACGTGGACTATACAACCACGTCCAGGTCGAAAACCAGACTGGTTTTTCCGAGTTTGCTCTTCACGAGGTTTCGTTAGGCGCCGAAGTATTATTGAGGCCAATATTTTAGATACTATATTAGTTAAACTTATTCCCCTGTGATTGTCACAAGAGGACTTCTGTCCTTTCTTGTAGATTGGGACAATCAGTGATTGAGACCAGTCGGATAGGATTGCGTCCAGTTCCCAGATTCTACCTAAGATCTCAGTCAACCTAGCTGATAAAACTGGACCACCATCCTTAAATATCTGAGGGGTCAGTCTATCAGGACCTGCAACTCGTCCTCGCTTCAGATTTCCTAACGCTTTCCCAACGTCATTAAGACTAGGCGGACTTACGTCGACTTGCCATTCAATTAGGAAAAAGACAAGACCGTTGTATTTCAGATATTTAATTACTCTTTGCATTAATCTATTTCACGTCAAATGTTTGGTGGAGAGTCAGTCAGTCAGTTACAACGTAGAACTTTGTACGTAGGTATATCAGTCCACGTTGCCGTACCGCATTAGCACAAAGACGCAACTGTTAGTTGAAATTTCATAGTATCGCAGAGTATTAGGAGTAATCGGAGAGATTAGGGTTTGGAGATATGATTCGAGAAGTATCATTTAGTGAGATAAATTTAGAAAGCGAAAGATAGAGGTGATCAGGGATTCAGAAGGTTAGGATTTGAGAGAACGCAAAGAGTGGATGCACCTGCGCCATTGCAGTAAATTTTTAGCCGTGCCGTTCAAGGTTTCCAACCATCTATTACTGTCATCTCATAGGCCCCATCCCAGTTAGTCGACACCTACCAACATGGCTCATTCCAGTTGTCAAGTGACTTCATGGATCTATGTTATGTTCTGGTTTAGCCGCCTCTAGCTTTCTTCCAACCTACTCCTACACCACAAAACAGCTCGACAAGGCAGTCGGTGGTTGGGCATTCGTAACACATGCCCCAACCATCTCAATTGATGAAGTTTCACTACTCCATCTATTGATCTGCCATCCTTACCTCGTCCCCTCTTTGGCGGAGAGTACAAAAATAGGAATTTTTAAGAAAAGAAAAGAATACAACATTGGAGTATTTTGTACATTGAGTGTAAAATCATAAAACAGCCTGACATTCATTGCCTAATTGTTTCTCTGCTTAGTATATTCTCATGATTGTTTGAATGCAGTATTATTTATGTGAATAGTGTGAATAGTAATAATAATAATAATAATAATAGTTGTTGTTGTTGTTGTTCAGTTTCAATTTACTCATAATAAATTTACCATGTTAATCAGTTATTCTACTACATTATAGATATTGGCTCAGAGAATACGTGGACAAGTATTATCATTATCTTTACAAATGTATGGTTGTCGTGTTATACAAAAAGCTGTTGAATCTGTTCCATTGGATATGCAAATATCCATTGTGAAAGAACTCGATGGATGTGTGATCAAATGTGTGAAAGATCAAAATGGAAATCATGTTGTACAGAAATGCGTAGAAAATGTTCCTCCAGAACATTTACAATTTATTGTTGACGCTTTTAAAGATCATGTAAGCATAGTTTAGATAGATCAATTTTTTCTTGATGAAATCTTTTTCAAGTCTTTTAATGCTTTTAATTATATAAAATTGAATGAATTGCATACTACAATTCATTGTACAGTATAAACTGGGTTTTACCTTACATGATTTAAGGGTAAAAGCGTACAGCTTACATCATGTTAAATGTTAGCTCAATTCAGGGATCAACTATGATGTTCCAGTTCTAGTACGCCTATTAGCCCATATGGAGCATAGACCGCCGACCAGTATTATCCAATCTTCTCTGTCCCGGGCTTGTCTTTCCGTTTCTGTCCAATTTTTGTCCATTCTTGTCACGTGTGTCTCCATTATTTCTCGGCGTAATGTTTTCCTTGGCCTTCCTCTTTTGCTTTATCCTTGAGGGTTCCAAGTAATTGCTTGTTTTGTGATGCAGTTGGGCGCTTTCAGCAATGCGTGTCGTATCCACTTCCACCACTTCTCCCTCATTTATTCCTCCACTGGAACCTCATGTGTTCGCTCCCACATTAGGTTGTTGCTGATAGAGTATCTGGACAACGGATCTGAAGTAGTATTTTGTGTAGACAATTGTTAACACACTTCAATCGTGTGCATGATGGCTTGTGTAGTTTTCCAATTTTCCACTTCATACAGTAGAACAGTTCGTTCATTAATGCGACAGTCTAATTGAATGTGAAAAATTAAAGCGTATCTTCCCAATTGCGTTGAACATGATCTCTAGAAAGCTAGTTGAACACATAAAACTATACTATATGTCATTGTAGCATGTTGTAATCATACTATCTATGTTTAGTCAATTATTACTGTTCAACATTGAGAAAAAACAATCCTTCCATGCAATAAGTTAAATTCGCATACACATATGAGCAATGAGTCTTTTTAAAATATAAATTCAATGTAAGAAAAAAAAGTAATAATAAAACACTAAACATTTGCCTAATTCATATTATATTTATCATTGATGATGATGATCAGTCATTTTGGTTGATATTATGAAACAATGTACTGTTTCCCATAATCATAAATTATTAATTATAATGAATCATGTCTTTTTTTTGTTTTTGATTAAACCATTGTTTTTTTTTGACGTGAACTAATTATATTTTATATCATTTTGTATTGTATTTTGTGATGTATTAATGTTAATTCGTGTCAATGTTGTTGAATGCGTTTGTGCTGTTTTTTTTCTTTTCTTTTCTTTTCAACATAGGTATATTCCATTTCTACTCATTCGTATGGTTGTCGTGTTATTCAACGTATTTTAGAGCATTGTACCCCTGAACAAACTACACCGATTCTGTCTGAGCTACACCAACACACTGAAGCACTTGTTAAAGATCAGTATGGAAATTATGTGATTCAAGTAAGATGTGTTTTTTTTTAAATTTTAAAATAAAGAAATAATCATTCTCATTTTCTCGATTTTGGTTATTGGTAGTTGTTTTGATTTTTGTTGACTGTCTTTTTCTTTTCATATAAAAAAAAGTTGTTAATTGAGATACACAACTGTCTCATTGATACTGTATTCTTTGTCTTTCGCTTTTTCTAGCATGTTCTTGAACATGGAAAAACTGAAGATAAAAGTCGAATTGTAGAACACATTAAAGGTCGTGTAGCTAAATTAAGTGTTCACAAATTTGCTAGTAATGTTGTAGAGAAAGCTGTTGCAAATGCTTCACGAATAGAACGTCAATTGTTAATTAATGAAGTACTTGAAGAGACTGTATCAACTGATCATCTCATTTTATCGAATGGACAACAATCTAGGGAATTTCGAATGAATAATCATAACGGTGACGATGAGAATGATGATGATGACGACGATGATGATGTTGATGACGGTGATGATGGCGGTGATGGTGGTGATCAACGTAGAACAAGAAGTTCAGTTTTAGTTATGATGATGAAAGATCAATTTGCCAATTATGTTATTCAAAAAATGTTAGATGTTGCTGAACAACCAATAAGAAAAGAGTTAATGACACAAATTCGTCCACATTTGAACATTTTACGTAAATATACTTATGGTAAACATATTATTAATAAAATGGAAAAATATTACATGAAAACAAATCAACTACATTTAGCTGTTGGATTAAATTCACCATCACCACCTCCATCTTTAGATATGGTTATTGTTTCATCAAATGTTTCACAATCGAATTTAAATTCTACAATTCGTACTTGTATAAGTAATAGTAGTAATAGTGGTAGTAGTGGTAATAGTAGTAATAATAATGCACACAATAATTCAGCTGCATCACTTCTACCACCACTATTAACTCCAACAGATATGGCTGTACGTGTTTCAAAATCAATGTCATTGAATAATCATCAATCTATTCATCATTCACATCATAATTATACCAATCAATCGTGTTTATCTTCATATTCACGCAATGGTTTATCAGCATCACATCGAATGAAACAAAAAAAGTCCAATAACAATAATTCAAATTTTCAAAAATCTTCCAATAATGATGATATACAAAATATGTCTACATTTATATCTGATAATAATGTAAGAAGTTTATCCAAAGAACCATTAGAAATGCATAAAAGTTCTAGTGATGAGTCACGTGGTGATGAGAAGAATAATATTAGTGGTGGTTGTTCCAAAAATCACCATGAATTAGACTCATCGAATTTCAATCAAACATCAACAGGCACTAATAATAAACGTTTCAGTAAAAAATGGAATGATGATAATGATAATAAAGAACGATTAAAATTATCTGATTCCAACAATACTCAGCATTTGTATGATGTAGTAGTAGTAGTCAATGAATTATCCAACGATTTTCAATTATCATCAACAAGAAAATCCAGTATACCAATATTGGATGTGAATGGACAGTCAGGAAGTGGTGGTGGTATCACGGAACAATTGTTAACAAATGGCAATGACTATGAATAATGTTGATTGTTCTTTGGGTTTTTTTTCTTTGCTGTCTTCTCTCTTTCTCTACCTTTTCATTCTCTGTTTTCTTTTTTCTCGGTTCTTTTTTTTAAAAAATGTGTTCAGTGTGTTCTCAATAGCTTCTTTTGTAGTGTTTTGCATATGTGTATGGTTCTTTTTTTTATTTATTTTATGGAGCTTTTCAATTGTTTGTGCAATGAAAAAAATATTTATGTTGAAAATATTAAAAAGAAAATTTCATTTCTTCAGCGCAGACAATTTATATATACATATATATATGGTGTGCGTGTAATGTATTTTATATTCTTTCCACCTTTATTGTCTTTTTCTATGTGTAAATGTATCAGCACATTGATTTATTTTCATTTTGTTTTTAAAATGTTAAAAAAAACTGTAATGCTACAGTCCTTTATCATCAAAATGTAACTTTTCCCATTGTGTACATGATGTGTTTATTGAAATAAAAACAAACAATCGATAAATGGATGGGTCCAGGTTATGCATATACACATTCTCTTATTGTTTCGATTTGTCTTCTTTACATTTTTATTACATCATCATCCATTGATGGTGCTATTTAACACAGATATGTATACCTACCTACCAACCAACCAACCAAACTGGTCGATCGACATGAACAATTCTGAATAAAATGAAAATGGTGTTACACTTCACTGGCTTTATATATTTAATTAACTTCAATTCTTTAGGTTTCTGTTGTGTGAATCAATCAATTATACAGACAGTATAAACTACAAATTAATTTTCATTTTTCTATTCAACAAAAGAAAAATGTCCATGTATCTTCTGTAAATCTCACACTATTCAACCTATATGAATCTTATTGGTATGCTGATTTGAGTTGTGTATTTATATATATTTCCTTTTTTTTTGTATAATTTCTATGCACTTCAATACACACATGAATTTTTTGTTATTCTTTTTCCTCCTTAGTTGTTGTTGTCTCTTAATCACTTATCACTTTTGAATGGCTTATTATTATTATTTCCCTTCTATAATAGTTTGGTTGTATGCAATTCTTAAGGATAAATCGTTATTATTATTATTATATTTATTCAAGTCATTTTGTAGTATATATATATACAAATATACATATATATATCTGTTTAACTAAGCTTGTACTCTGTATACAACATTCTGTACACTGTCTTATCTTTTATTTGTTTTCACTGTGCTATGATAATAATAATAATAATTATTGTTACTGACTTAAGTCCTTCCATTCTTTTGTAATATCATCATGTACTTTCCACTATATACTCTTCCACTACAAAAACTACTACTTCTTCACAAATACATGAATATATATATACATATGTAATCTGTTCATCAGTCTATTTCCTTTTCATTATAAATAGTATGTCGCTTGTCTCATTCCATCTAATCTTAATGAATTATTGGTCTTTGAAAGCAGTACCTTCATAATCTACTTACTATCTTTGTCAAGCATGTATTTTCTTTCTTTGCACAACGTTCTCATACTAATAAAAAAAGGCCTTTCATTTTATCTCATTAGTTTAATCGGTCAAGATTTGAATGCAATTTTTAAACTTTGATTAGAAAGTTGTGAGATTTTGTAAACTTGTTGTAGACGTTTTAGTGGATATTTAACATCGATATATTTATTGTGTTCCGTGATGAGGCTACGCAAAATTCAACCAATTGGCCAACCTCGGATATTCCAGTACGACTGCAAATTCTGTTTCCCAAATTCCCAATATGTCAGAACACAAAACCGTCAGATGAAAATCGTTTATGGGGGTCAGAATACAGCCTAGGACCGTACATGCATTGCATATTTATACAGTTAGAACGATCGTAAATATTGATCTATAGGAAATAAGATGTGAAAACATGCGATTTTACGTTTAATGATAGAATCAGACTTGAACGAATAATTTCGTTTTGCGTACTTACGTCGCATCACCCGTAAGACTTCCACCATTGACGATGGTTATTCTCTTTGAAGTTTTCTGAGTGAAACTAGTCATTACTTGTTTGCGTTTGGTTGCATTCAGCATGTCAACAATTTGGAATCCAGGGAAGATAACATCTTTTATTATTTGTTAAACGTTAAATGGAACCGATGGAGTCCTAATAGTATGTTTCTGATATACGTTATATCATCAGAACTAACAAATACGACGGTTGGTTAGTAGTTAACGGTGTTAATCAGTTCGAAAATAGTTGTCTACAAATGATGAGCACGACTCAAAGCGATTTTGGTAATTACGTTGGAAAACTCGTAAATTATAGCGAAGGCAGGATAATTCGCATAAACCAAGAAGGGCTGATACAAATCGACTAAATTAATCAGACACTTCTTCATAGACAACGAACCAAATAACTATGTCTCTTAACCAGTGTGGGTCATTCTGAAGATGTCAATCGATTGTATTGCAATTCAATACAATGAAAGCCTACACTCACTCACCTATCAATTAAAAGAACATACTGTCCGTTGGAAATAGGTCCTATTTGAAACTTACTAGATGGATGTGTATGATACAGCAATAAATCTTAGCTTTGCTTGAACATCACGTCATTTTTATCTTCTTGGATACACTAAAAACGACAAATCTTGCAAGGACGATGTGTTGGCACAAATCAAGAATTGATTTAAGCAGCTAACACGGGCACATACATGTTCAGTGAGTATAAAAGTGTAGCAACTATACAGTACACTAACACGGTAAACAAATAATTAAAAACAAATAGCGTTTCGACTCAAAAAAGTAGAAATTTTAATTTACAAAATATTTAGCAGTAAATGGTTTTTCCCTGAAATAAATCTAAGGATTGAATCAAATGAATAACAACAGTAAGAGATAATGGTTGATATGATACACGATTCAACAAACGTTTTTATTCTGTTTCAATGATACAGTTTGCGTGTTTATTTTCATTTTATTAAGACAGACAATTAGTCATTAAAATAAAATAAGAATGTATGAAAGAAGAGAGGTGAGTACAATCAAAAGTAACGAATGAATCCAATGTATAAACAACAAAAGTATACAGCATGAGAATCAATTCAGTTAAAGAAGACCAGTAGAATCTATTATCGGGACGACACACTTACACTTTATTGAAGAATGCACATTTTATTTACAATTGGGCAATTTATAATGTATTCTAAAAAAAATTTCAAGACTTGTTCTACCGTTTGATAAAATTATCATGAAGTTCACCTCTCTGACGACTACTAGCCTTACGATGAATACCTTCCTCGACCGTAGTCATGTCAACATGTTGGTTTTTCAAATGACTGATAAATGATGGTCCATGAGAAAATTTCGAGGCTAATTCTTTTTTTTCTTCAATATTTTTCATTGTATAGTGAGTAGTTGAACGATGTGAACGTTGTTTTTCATGTTCTTTTGCATCAGAAATCATTTGGGCTCGCTTAGCTTCAATCTCTTCTTTGGATAATTTCCGGTGATTAGTTGATGATTTACGATAGTCAGATCTTTCTGAATTTGATGACATTGACTGATTTCTTTGGTTATATGTTAAAGAATGCTTTTTGTTTAGATTTGAACAATTTTGATCTGATATTGCATGCCGTTGATTAGATGAACTTGAAGATTGTTTGTGATCAGTATCATATGAATCATTATTGTATTTAGTGGGAGATTTTTGTGAGCTAACCTTTCCCATTTCATCAGATTGGTGAATAATTTTAATGAATTTATTAAGTAGTTCATCATCTGAACTCATTTCTTCTGATTCATCTGAACTTTTATGATGATGTCTTCGTTTGGAATGTTTTTTACTTTTATGTTTTTCTTTACGCAATTTCTGTTCCGTCAACTATTAAAAAACATTAGTGAATGATTAGATCAAATTTACAAGTCTTCGAAGTTTTTTAATTTTAGCTGTATTCTTAAGCAACTCCATCCGTTTTTCTGCTTCTCGCTGCCTATTAGTTAAAAAAAAAAGTAAGTAAAATAACTCAATTCAAATAATCACTTCATGATGGTTAGGGGATCTTCACGAAATTTGGCTTCCATATCAAATCTAGCAAGCCGCTGAGCAGGTGACTCTTCATATTCTGAATATACAATTATAAAACTCGTTTTTTTTCTTTTACCTTTACTAATTTCTTGAATTTGACTTAAGCTTTGCACTTGTTTGCCCAATAAAAAGGCTTCAGGATCTTCTTTCGGTTTCTCATACATCCATGAATCCCCCTTTGTGCTCCTAGTAATGAGAAAATATGAGTTTAATTTAGATGTCCAAGTTTACTTTTTCTCTGCCAAAAGAGCAACGATTTTCATACGTTCTTCAGGAGGCTAAAACAATACAAAAGCCAAAAGAATAATTTATAGTTAAATTTTACACTTAAGAGATCGATAGATGAAATTCTGAACATCTATCAATTCAGTAGACAATACTGAAATCGATTGTTTAAAGACTTTTTAGCTTATGTTACTGATAGATGCCACTGCAATTCATACAGATGTTTGGATATGATGTTGACCCAGATAAACATAAACATCATAATAGAGATTGACTAACTCCCAGTTTCTCCTGAAATATACACTGAAATTCGTCATCGTTTGATTGAACGCTAAGGGGTCTTCTTGGTAATTTTTAGTGAATTTCAGTGGTTACTACGTCAGAAATTGTATCTCCTTATGCTTAAAATTGGTTGTTATTATGAATAAACGATTGTATGAACATAGGTAGGTGTCGACTACCTGGTTGGGGTCCGCGAGATGTTAGTAATCGATGGTTAGAGACCCTGAATGACATGGCTCAAAACCGTTTGCAATGGCGCAGGTGCATTCATTCTTTGTGTTCCCTCAAATCCTAAACTTTTTAATACCTCATCACTTTATCTTTATAAGTTTATTTCACTAGATTCTACTTTCGAATAATATCGTCTAATCCCAACCTCTCCGACTACTGCTAATACCTTTACTATCTCTACTACTATTGGATCTGAATTGACAATTACATCTCCGTACTAATGTGGTATGGCAACATGAACTGATGTACATACGTACGAAGTTCTACGTTGCTATTGATTGATCGATTGATGAACATAGTGCTTACTACAAACACTGACAAGATCATGAGAAGTTGTAGTCAAGTCTTCAGTTACACGAAGGTTAAATCATAATGGTTCTCCATAATGACTAGGTGACATCAGGTAACCAACTACATTTGCACAGGGTCCCTAAGATTCCAGAGTACTAGGTAGTGCAACCTGCTGTCTCATTAAACATGTTTCAAAAACCGGAAACTCCACTTATGTATTTTTGAGCATAGTTCTAGCCGACTGGGAGTAACAATTCATGGATTTGAATTGTTAGCGTTCGTGGGACAATAGTGAAGCTGTAGAAGGGTTTATAGTAGGGATAAAAGGAATGTTGTAAAATCAAAATGGGAATCGATCGTAAACAAGCTGTACATAGACATAAGGTTTGCATTTTAAGGACTGATTTTGTTTAATTTCTCTCTACTACTGTGAAAAGACAGCATCACCGGAGATGTCGAACCTCTAGACAACTTGGGTATGAAGTGCATCAGATGAGTACTTTAAATTTACTTTGGGTTTCCCAGTAGTAAACCTTGAGACAATGACCTCGAACCATTAGGTTCAGTATATGACTGGTAGCACGCTTGTATACAAACTGAAGATTTTCAGTTGCATTGTGGAATACTGAAAAAGTGCACTACTACGTCACATACTGTTCGGAAAAAAAACGGTTCAGTCGGTTATCAGTGCTAATCACTTTAGAGGAGTTTCAATTAAGAGGAATCAATCATCAAAAGCCATCATATTTTCAAGATTAGTACTAAAATCTCAACGTATGTAACATTAAAATTTAAATGACTTACAAGATCTTTTAAATTCATATTTCAAGTGAACTGAAATATTCTGCTTTATTTGAATCAGCAGTAGGATCAGAATGACATAACTAGAAAATAAAAACGATTGAGGTACATAATCAAGAAAGATCCTTTTTTAAATTCAGTAGAGCGAATAAGCCAAATGTGTATAAGCTTATTCGTAAATCAACAATTTTCAAAATGATTTGAAGCAAATCCGAATGCAGAGAATTTCATTACTGTCTGATTTGTGCTTAGAAAGTTCTTACTTGTAGAGGTCAGTAGAAGTTTAAACAGAGCTCATGAAGGATATATGTATGGTATGTGGAAGGTTGTACTACCAGTTATACTGAAAGAATCTAATCCATTACAAGTCTATACCGTAATTCCTCAATAGGACATCGGCATACTAACTCAATTAAAGATGGATAAAAACCAAATCAACCTTTCCTCAATTGACCAACTACACCGAAACTAATTTACAAAGACGTGCATTTGTAAATAGCTGTTTGCATGCCACTCCAAGCAATCATTTTTCGCTGTTATAAGATTGCGATTTAGAGGAAAATTCGTAACCTGTATATAAACATACTACATGTGACAGGTGATGAGACACTGAGAATAGATCTATACAGCTGGTTGAATCAATTTTTTTGTGGAGTTTCGTGATACTACTCGGGTGCCTTCAGCGAAGTAGTTGAGATGGGATTTATGTCTGAAACCCGTAACGTACTTAATAGCTTACTGAAGTCACGTGGCTGTTTTATTCATACTTTTCTCTCTAAGTTTCAATCACACATATCAATTTTCATAATTCGTGAGGACAAAATCTATCCTTAGACTAGATAAGTCGATACAAACCTAGTGGCTGATAACAATAAGATACAGTCTAAGATCTATTGCATAACCTGTGTAAATCATGTCTAACTGCGGGAGACGAGAGACTGACGTCAAAGCTTGGTTTTTTGCATAATCCAGCTTAATTAGGATATATAGGGTTGTAGATTAGTTTTAGAGGACTGACAATAAACCATATTGTAGACATAAACATAGGAGTAAACATAATGATCAAGGTAACTATTCACCTATGCGGTCGAAAAGTGACAGGAATACACTTTCGTTATGAAGTAAGAGCGCAAGTATGATGAACGTGGCATTAGCATTAGGCTGAGGCTAAACGCTTTAAGCATGTTGGAGCAGAATCTTTTGCTATAAAAAAATAAGTAAAATTTAATGCCAGCTAAAAAATGAATTGTGCTATACAGGTTGTCTCTTTTCTTGTCAGCAACGCCGACTTTCCTTACGATATAAACATAACTGATAACTTTTTCATCAGCTAGTATAAATAATATGATTTCTTTGTGCTCGCTTTTTATTGGTTTGGTACGGTTCCTGGTATTTAGTAGTATACAATGGACGGTAGTCTAGCCACCCAACTGAAATGATTTCATTCAGTTGGCAGTTATGCATGAATTCATAAGTTTTGTGGTTTGAATTAATGCATTTGTCTCAGCAGTAGTAGCTAACACATTACAAGGCTGGCGACCAGTTAGTTTGGAAGTGGAAAAAAATAGTGAAATTCGAGTGCCATTAACATTTTGAAGCCGAGCAAATAAACTATTAAGATAGTGAGTAATATTTGGTGAACTTGAATGGATTGTAATGTATAAAACAAAATCACATCCAATATTCAGAATAGTAAACTCGGATAAGGAAATAAATTACTTAAGAAACGTTTGAAAATGTAGAACGATATAACTTCATAAAAGATTGGCATATAGGTCTACGTTTACTTCACAGCATTCTATGTAACTTACAAGACGGACGAAAAGTTATGAGTTAAAACAACCTCTTCGCTGGGACAACCTTGAAAAGATGCACGGACGACGAGCATTCAATATAAAGTTATTTTGAGATGGTTTGCTCGTGCATCATCTTATTATAATACAGTTTATATAAAACTGGGTGTTCGTTTTCAACTAATAGTGCTTTTTGAAAGAAACTGAATCACACCAATTCCCAGCGGAATGGAAACAAGCTACTCTCTCTCCAATCTTCAAAGGAGGAGATAGAAAGGACCCAGCCTGTTACAGACCAGTCGCACTACTACCTATATTATCAAAGGTTATGGAAGGGCTAGTGGACGAACAAATGAGGGAGTACATGGATAAGACTAAAATACTCCATGAAGCTCAACATGGGTTTCGGAAAGGCAGGTCGTGTGCATCTAATCTTCTCATCGCATGGGACAGTTGGACATCCTGCTTGGACCGTAAAATACCAGTGCACGTAGTATTTCTCGACTTCGCAAAAGCCTTTGACACAGTGCCCCACGCACGCCTAATCGAAAAGGTTGTGGAAATGGGCTTCACTGACCCGCTCGTATCTTGGCTCAGAAACTACCTTGAGAATAGAAAGTTTCGCACCAAGGTAAACAGGGTGCACGCGAGTTGGAGAGTATCCACTTCAGGAGTTTCACAGGGGACCATCCTAGGCCCACTCCTCTTCCTGATATTCATTAACGACCTGCTAAGCTTAGTTAGCTCACCGGCACTGATCTACGCAGACGATGCGAAGATCTGGAGATCCATTAGAAGCGAAGAGGATTCGACTGAGCTTCAAAAGGACCTTACATCCATTGAGGAATGGGCAGTGAAAAACGGTTTAAAACTCTCCAAGCAATCATTTTTTGCTGTTATAAGATTGCGATTTAGAGGAAAATTCGTAACCTGTAAATAAACATACTACATGTGACAGGTGATGACGCTTTTTTATACACTGAGAATAGATCTATACAGCTGGTTGAATCAATTTTTTTGTGGAGTTTCGTGATACTACTCGGGTGCCTTCAACGAAGTAGTTGAGATGGGATTTATGTCTGAAACCCGTAACGTACTTAATAGCTTACTGAAGTCACGTGGCTGTTTTATTCATACTTTTCTCTCTAAGTTTCAATCACACATATCAATTTTCATAATTCGTGAGGACAAAATCTATCCTTAGACTAGATGAGTTGATACAAACGTAATGGTTGATAACAATAAGATACAGTCTAAGATCTATTGCATAACCTGGGTAAATCATTTCTAACTGTGAGAGACGAGAGACTGACGTCAAAGCTTGGTTTTTTGCATAATCTAGCTTAATTAGAATATCTAGGGTTGTAAACTAGTTTTAGAGGACTGACAATAAACCATATTGTAGACAAACATAGGAGTAAACATAATGACCAAGTCAACTATTCACCTATGCGGTCGAAAAGTGACAGGAATACGCTTTCGTTATGAAGTAAGAGCGCAAGTATGGTGTACGTGGCATTAGCATTAGGCTGAGGCTAAACGCTTTAAGCATGTTGGAGCAGAATCTTTTGCTATAAAAAAATAAGTAAAATTGAATGCCAGCTAAAAAATAAATTGTGCCACACAGGTTGTCGCTTTTATTGTCAGTAACGCCGACTTTCCTTACGATATAAACATATCTGATATCTTTTTCATTAGCTAGTATAAATCATATGATTTCTTTGTGCTCGCTTTTTATTGGTTTGGTACGGTTCCTGGTATTTGGTAGTGTCCAATGGACGGTAGTCTAGCCACCCAACTGAAATAATTTCATTCACTTGGCAGTTATGCATGAATTCATAAGTTTTGTGGTTTGAATTAGTGCGTGTCTCAGCAGTAGTATTCCAGGTTACTAGTAACTAACACATTACAAGGCTGACGACCAGTTAGTTTGGAAGTGGAAAAAAATACTGAAATTCGAGTGCCAATGGGATTTTGGAGCCGAGCAAATAAACTATTAGGATAGTGAGTATTAATTTAGTGAACTTGAATGGATTGTAATGTATAAAACAAAATCATATCCAATATTCCGAATAGTAAACTCAGAGAAGGAAATAAATTACTTAAGAAACGTTTGAAAATCTAGAACGATAGAACTTCATAAAAGATTGGCATATACGTCTACGTTTACTTCACAGCATTCTATGTAACTTACAAAACGGACGAAAATTTATGAGTTAAAATTACCTCTTCGCTGGGACAACCTTGAAAAGATGCACGGACGACGAGCATTCAATATAAAGTTATTTTGAGATGGTTTGCTCGTGCATTATCTTATTATAATGCAGTTTATATAAAATTGGGTGTTTGTTTTCAACTAATAGTGCTTTTTGAAAGAAACTGAATCACACCAATTCCCAGCGGAATGGAAACAAGCTACTCTCTCTCCAATCTTCAAAGGAGGAGATAGAAAGGACCCAGCCTGTTACAGACCAGTCGCACTACTACCTATATTATCAAAGGTTATGGAAGGGCTAGTGGACGAACAAATGAGGGAGTACATGGATAAGACTAAAATACTCCATGAAGCTCAACATGGGTTTCGGAAAGGCAGGTCGTGTGCATCTAATCTTCTCATCGCATGGGACAGTTGGACATCCTGCTTGGACCGTAAAATACCAGTGCACGTAGTATTTCTCGACTTCGCAAAAGCCTTTGACACAGTGCCCCACGCACGCCTAATCGAAAAGGTTGTGGAAATGGGCTTCACTGACCCGCTCGTATCTTGGCTCAAAAACTACCTTGAGAATAGAAAGTTTCGCACCAAGGTAAACAGGGTGCACGCGAGTTGGAGAGTATCCACTTCAGGAGTTTCACAGGGGACCATCCTAGGCCCACTCCTCTTCCTGATATTCATTAACGACCTGCTAAGCTTAGTTAGCTCACCGGCACTGATCTATGCGGACGATGCGAAGATCTGGAGATCCATTAGAAGCGAAGAGGATTCGACTGAGCTTCAAAAGGACCTTACATCCATTGAGGAATGGGCAGTGAAAAACGGTTTAAAACTTAACCAACCGAAGTGCCACGTCATGCATTTCCTGCCTCATATGACGCAAACCACCTACTTTCTCAATGGAAGTCCGCTCCCTAATGTCTCCTCAGAGCGCGATCTTGGTTTAATAACCACAGAAAGCCTCCACACGAGTCCGAACTATGTAGGGGATGCAGCCAAGGCAAATGCGACTCTTCACTTTATGCGAAGACAGCTTGGTGCTATAACCCCGAAATTATTTTTAACCCTGTTTAAGACGTACGTGCGCCCACACTTGGAGGTTCACAACGTCATCGCACCCCCTATGCTTAAAAGAGACATTAATCTCTTGGATCGAGTGCAGAGACGAGCAACCAAATGGGTGATAGGTTTGAAAAATAAACCGTACGACGATAGACTCCAGCTCTTGGGATTATTCCCACTGAGCTACAGGAGAATCAGAGGTGACCTGATTATGGCGTACACCATATTAAACACGCCCAACCATCCCAATGTGAGCATCTTACCGATGCATCACCACCACTCCCCTCGAGGCAATCCTCAAAAGATTGCACATCAAAGAGCAAACACTCAGGTTCGTGCACACTTTTTCTCATTGCGAGTCGTCGCAACTTGGAATGCTCTCCCAGCCGAGGTAGTTACAGCCCCCTCAGTGGACTGCTTTAAGAAGAGACTTGATAATCACGTACTCACATGCGGACTATCATCTCCCTCTTGGACAAGCTGTGCCTGACGCATATCTTGAGACCTGCTAGTTGTTACCATTGCCATCTCCTCAGATCACTTAATTAATTTAACTCGCCTATTCCTCTCCCTTGCTTACACTTCGGTCCTCTCTCACAATCTTCACTACCAATTAATAAACTAAATTCATCTATATATTACTCAGTTCTGAAATTTTACTCATATTATCATTTTAATTTACCCTTATTACCCTTATTACTCTCCACATTGCAACTAACTGATCTCCGGTTTGGTAAAGTGACGGCTGCTAGTATCCAGAAACCCTACTGCCCTGAAACAAACGTTTCATTCAAATCCCGAGACATACAAACTCACAACCAACTGCCAACTGACTAGAATTAGACAGTCGAGTGGCTAGACCTCCATCCATTGGACATTACCGAACACCTGGAACCGTACCGAAAGAACAAGAATCGAGCGCGAAGAAATCAAATTGGTTTACACTAGCTCGTGAAAAAGATATTGGATATTGGATATTGGTAATTGTTCGGAAAAAGCTGAAACGAGTGTGTTTAACTTACATATCTAAAGTGCAGCTAACGGGTTCTCAGTACGTTTATCGATGGACTAACGACAACCCTAGTCAGCATAAAGAATATGTGTTCGTTGTATTTAGATGTACGTTCAACGATTAGAAGGGCTGTAAACTATCAGCCTTATTAGTAAACCTTGAAAATATTTATTCACATGTAAACAGGTAGGTCTAAGGACCATGATTGTTAGTCAATGCTTACAGTTGCTTTAAGTGATAGTGTATGCCCCATTATTACCATAAGCGATGAAGACCTTAAATCCCCTTGAGTAGACAATATTTAGCAGGCGTGTTATAAAAATTTCAAATTACTAGTTATCTCTTAACTTTTTAATTACTGTTTAGTGATGACTGAGTCGACATTGACTATGATCACGACTAAATACTGATTACGAACCGGTCACTGAGAAGATAGATAAATTCAGTGTAAAGAATATATTTGCTGGTGATTTCATGGTGTCGAAAGAACACCGAAATTATACCAGGAAGTGAGCTAATTAAAGATTAGCTACAGCAAAGAATGGCAGCAACACAAACAAAAAATTGTGCGTAAATAAGTGTTATAAACTAAAAGTACAGTTGAACGATCCCTGGTACATTTCTACTAAACCAATCACGTTCTCTTCATAAAAGTATTCCACAAAAGGCGCTCACCGCTAGGGAGGGTGTACACTTTCGTTACGTAGCGGTTTAGTTCGGGGGAACTGATCGGCCAACTTTCGGTTGTAGAGCAGAAGAGTTGACGAACAGAAAGCGACCCAAGATGCTCATGTTATCATCGAATTCCTTTTACAGAGAACGGTACCAACGATAATGTGCCATATTTACTGCTGTAGTAAACATACTATATCAGCGTGGCTCGCATCCAGAATCTGAAGATTGCGTTCATAGTGGTTCGGACCAAAAAACTCTGCAGACGTAAAGCGGAACCACGTTGAGCGATGGAGCCAGAAGCGACCATAACCTCCAAGTTTGAGACCACACGTATGCTAAACATATTCGGAACGGAAACACTGACTGAGTGAACTAACATAGGCATAGATGATCAGGCCGGCTTTCCCCAAGATTGACTGAAGTCGACGGTACCAACAAGGCGATGGTCGTAATATTATAGTATCCATCAGTTGTTGGGAGATAGATGAAGCAGTCTTAACTCCAAAAGGCAGACGGTTGTATTGGAACAAACCACGATGAGTATTTATAGTGAGCAGCTCTTTAGATGCTTCAGTGACTTCTGTTTGCAAAAAAGCATCAGCTAGAACAAGCTTTAAGGAAAACTTTCCCACATTCAGCATAGTGAACAGATCTGCAGGGACTGGCAGAGGATAATGATGTTGATCCGGAGCTGCGTTGAGACCTGTAGAAAATTCAGCACATATACGTATCGTGTCGTTGGCCTTCTTGATAACATATACAGGTGATGCTCAAGTAGAGTAAGAAACGGGAGTAATAACTCCTTGTCGTTGAAGGCGATCCAAATCTTCATCTACTGTTGCTAACGTTGCATAAGGTACGGGTCTTTTTGGACGGAAACCAGGCTTAGCCCCAGGCTTCATGGCAGTGCACCAACCTAATCCAAAGTCACAGGCCAGTGTAGACCTTGGTGCTAGTCGTACTGAAGCTCACGGAGATCTGGGTTACTGCACACATAGCTGTCTGAAGTTCTGAGACCGTTCTACCATCACAGAACCCCACGTTGCCCGAGATAGGTCACGATCGAGTAGACCGTTAGTACTCCCCCAAGGCGGGCCCCTTTCAAGTCACTCCAAAGGTGACTTCGTAATCAAGTAAGGGTTTGTGCTGGTTCCACCGTACCCTTGGGTCCGGTGCCCGGCTTTTCGAGCCTCCAAGTCATACAAGGCAAGAAGCTCGCGTGAAAGTGAATAAATGAGGCTGTACTCGCTGGCCCCTCACCTCACGTTGGCCTCTTATTTAACGTTCATCATTGTTGATGTTCCCACAGCCATACTCGGCATCAATTACCTACAGCACTATGAATTGCTAGTCGATTCCCGTAGGCTGCAGCTAATCGATGCTTCGTCGAACAGCAAATTCGTGGGATTTAGAGCTCGAACAGCTGCTTACCGTATTACAGGGGCATTTCATTCTCGTGATGATATTTTCCACGCCTTACTCGAAAAATTTCTCCATTTAACTAAACCTTTCGAGGAGAATCTATCGGTGACTCATCATGTGATACACCACATCATCATCCGCCGACCACCTGTCACGGCACGACCTCGCCCACTGGCATCGGAAAAATTGGCTTTCTCTTAACGTGAGTTTGACAGTCTACTAGCTACATGTATTGTTCGTCCTTCTCACAGACCTTGGGCCTCACCAATCCACATGGTTCGCTAAAAGAATAGGCAAGATTATCTATTCTAAGATTGATCTGGTACGAGCATTTCATCAGATCCCAGTCGCTCTTGAGGATATCGAGAAAACCGCGATCAAGACTCCTTTCGGTCTTTTTGAGTTCCTACGAATGCCATTTGTACTACGGGATGCTGCTCAAACTTTCCAAAGTTTCATCGATAGCAAAGAACGATACTTGGCTTTCGACCACGTATATATTGATGATCTGCTAATCGAGTCATCAAACGTAGATGAACAATATCAACATCTTACGCTCTTATTCCAATGCCTTTCGGATAACTGAATAGTAGTTAACGCAGACAAGTGTCAACTGAGCAAGGCAGAAATAAAATTCTCGGGTCATATCATTAAACAGGAAGTTATTCTATCTTGTGAAGATAAAGTACGTACAATCATGGAGTACACTGTCCCGTCCTCACTCAAGGAACTGAAGGCTTTTATCAGTTTGATCAACTTCTACCGGCATTTCATTCCACACGCGGCAGAGCAGTTACATCCATTAACCGACTTACTTCGGGTAATCCACGCACACTAGAATTGAACGATGCCGAGCGTACTGCATTTTCTGAGATTAAAAAAAGCTTTAGCTGGAGCCACGCTCCTCGCCCATCCTGACCCATCAGCCACGCTCAGTATAGCGGTTGATGTATCAGATTTTGCTGTAGGAGCCGTTATGCAACAAAAATTCTCTGGATGCTGGCAACCTCTCGAAGTTTTCTCACGACTCCATACTCCCACGTAGATGGGACATAGCGCTTTTGGTCGCGAACTGAGAGCAGCCTACTGTGCCAGGACGCGGTAGAAAGTCGTAACCTTATCCTCTTCACTCACCATAAGCCTCTGGACTGCAGTCAGTGGGAGCATAGGCAGAGACGACGAAGAGACCACGTCCCGTTTATTAGGACAGTGCACAAGCGACTATCCATCGAGACCCATTTTAAGAGAGCTTGCTATGCTCTACCTACGCCAGTTAGGCAACGAGAGGCAGCATCAAGGCTACCGGAAACATGAGGCGCAAACTGTGTTGTTTTTCTATCTGCACTAGGTAAAATGAAATTGATTTTACTCGGAACTTGTATGCGCGTTTCGGAGATGCAACATACATCGATCGCCCAGGAATCCAGAGTTCTAGCTAATGAAGTCTGTTGTCCTATTCGGCACAAGGTTCGAACACTAAAAGCTGCAATATGTTATTTAGTATGGTGTTTCCGGAGACCAGGAATAATCTTTCGTGAGATCGAATCCTTTGCTTCAGCGGTGCGACAAACCATAGAAAGAAGTGTTGGTCGAGATAAGATAGTTATTAACAGGTGTAGGAAGTATCTGACTGTCAGCGAGCAGAGTCTTTACTTTTCCCCGGATAGGGTCGCCCACCCGAACCCTCCTCCTCCTCTATCCGGGCCTGGGACCAGCAGTAGTCCCGAAGGATCTACAGGCGGAGTTGCGAAACAACAGTAACCGATGGTTAGAGACTTTAAATAATATGGCTCCAGATCGCTCGCAATGGCGCAAATGCATCCATTCCATTTTCTCTCAAATTTTAATCTCTTGAATTCCTCATGACCTTTCCCATTTTAAATTCGTTGTATCACGATATACTTCTCTAATTATATCTTCGATCCTTAATCTTCATTACCACTAATACTGCTACTACCATGGGATTTGAAGTTACCATTCGATAACTCTGTGCTACTGTAGTACGACATCTTGTACTGATGGAAGTACACAATAAAGTCCTACTTTGCGTCTAACTGACTGGAAGTGAATAAATATTACTAAATGTTTCATCTGAATAATCTTTACAGTTTATTGTTCGAAAAAAAGCTTTGGGAGGCTGTAGAGGACTTATAACAGCTAGACTGGATATTTACTGATCAAGACTAATAATACACGGGAAGTTGTAAATTGTAATCCATGAAAAGAAGTCCTAATGCTTGTTATTATAAGGATATCTATGCTAATTTCTCAAGAGAAAAACTACTTACTCTAACAATTAATCAACCACAGTGTATTTACTCATTGAGTAATTGTTCTTGAAATAAAAGTTATTTATATACAAATTAAAAAAACAAAACAAAACAAGGACAATAATCATAATGAATAAATCATTAAGTAACATGTGAAATGATCAAAGATGAAAAATGAAAGTTGTAAACAGAGTCGCACGAATTGCAATTGCATCATTCTGAATAAATATAATATAAAAGCACATCATCTCATTGATCAAATATATATTTTCTCAATGATATTTCATGCATTCATGGGATTTGTCCTACCTAATCAATGAAATTCATGAAAGTTTTTAATCAAACAAATACAAACAAAACACATTGTATGCTTCTTTTTCGCATCTATTCTGATAGATTATCATCATTTTATGCATTTTATGTTAATATTGATGGATGGATAGATAGGTGAATAGATCATCAATATTTGATGAAATAAGCAAAACAATGTGAAATATAGGGAAGGGAAAAAAATGTCAATGCACACAATATACTTGATTATTTAATACATAAATATATACAAAGTGAACAAATACTAAACAATGTAGATGAATTTGAATTTAGAATGTTACCATTGTTTGTATCAAATGTCCAGATCACTTTATGTAAATAAGTAAATAATGGTCTATGAATTGACGGTAACCATAAATTATGAGGTGGATTAAAATAGATTACTTGATCAGGTTCTGTTTGTTTTTTGATTGAAGTTTTAACTGGATTCTCATTCAATTGAAATGGTGTTTTGATGTGATCACGTGAAGATGGAGAATTGATTTTGCCTTTAGATGGTATCAAGACTTCACGTTCTAAGTAACGTAAAGTTGTTAGTTCTGAAGCCTAAAATTCAAAGAAAAAACATCACATAAACTAACTAAGTTTTATCCAAACTGCCTGAGCACATATTGCAATGGAGATAGTGAATAAGTTTACGAAAAACAAAAGAGTTTTTTTAAGGAAAACTACTTGATTAGCGTTCGAGAACGTGTCATTCAGATAAAAATGATCAAGAACATAGCCGTGAATTGTTATTAATTTTTTAAAACAATGGATTGAATTAAAACTTCATCGATTAAATAGTCACACAGATTGCTTTCTGCAGTAGTGATGTAAAAGTAGACCGTCAGCACTTTGGTCTATTCCAACAACGATATGTATTGGTCTAGTTTATTTCTCAATAGAGTAACTATGTGGTGGCTTTTATGTTACAACACTTAAGTTTATTCTAGCTTCTGGATAGAATTTATTTAATCATATAGCAAATAACTATTGACATATGCGCTTACCAGGCTAACAGCTCTATACTCGTCAGTTCTTTTCTCCATGTGTCTTCATGCTCATATCATATTCACTGTATATTTTGAGTTAATTTAACACTTTGAGAAAACAAGTTTTAAAGGTTTCAATTTTCATCACACTCATTATGTTTGCATTAATGGATGTACAAAATAATATCAATCTGAAACTGTTGTATATATGACTTATTCCAAAGTTTACTTATGATTAAATACAAAGTTAATTAAGACACTATACATCATCAGTTCCTTTTTTTGCCTAAACCATTTGGAATCAACTAAAAGGCACTCAAAAAACAACAACAACAACAACAACAAGAAAACGTGTACGTTAGGCTTTGGTCTACAGTTTCTTTTTTATGAAAAATAGATAAGTTGCCCTATTACATGAGTCTAAGTAAGCATATTGACATTGCTAACTCTGATCTTAGAATGAAACGTTAACGCTCAAGTAATTCTTCTCATAAATATGTATAAAAACAAACTATTTCGAATGAATAATAAGATCATCCTTTTCCGAAATAGTTTCACCTACATTCTGGTTCTTAATACTGGTTTCCTTGATGAGTAAATAGTTACCTATTGATGCCTATTGCCGTTGCATTTTCCATCGCTCTTGTTTTTGCTACCCACCACTGTTCTCGATCATTGCGTAGGCTTTTTATCAGCCTGCGCCTGAGCTGACTCCGCTCCTCATCGTACTCAGAGCTAGGCGGGATGAGTTTACGAGCGTCTATCAGTTCGGTGGATGCTATTGAAATCCATGGCTACTACCTAACCTTATGGTTTACCTTACTAACAGATATCACTGCTGTTCCCATGGCCTTTTTAATCTCATTCCAAGCTGCCTCAGGGCGGGTATCACTTACTACATGGCTACCTATCTGTTTTTCTAGTTGTACCTGAAATATATTCTTAGCTTTATTATCAATAAGTAGAGTCCTAAGAGGTTTCCTTGCAGTGTTTTCCTACGTCCGGTATGTTTCAGACAAATACGCGCTCGTACTAGAGCATGATCTGAATCTAAACAAGTGCTCCAGAATGAGAGGCACTCCCCAATAGAGCCTCTCCAACGATGGATTATAGCAATGTGATCTAGCTGGGTCCTTCGTCGGGTCGGCTTCCGGGATCGCCAGGTCAAAAGATGTTTCACCTTATGCTTAAAATTAGTGTTTGCTGGGAATAGGCAGTTATCAGAGCACAGTTGCAACAGACGGTCGCCAGTGTCTGTTCGCTGAGCCGCGACACCATAACATCCACCGTGGTGTCTTTCCTCTTCGTTGAGTCTACCTACTTGAGCATTAAAGTCACCAGCCATTATTACTACATCAGAGTGCCTAACATTTTGAAGAAGATTAGAGAAATTTCTATAAAACCTATCTTTCATGCCTTCTGAACTGCAGTCAGTGTGAGAGTAGGCAGATACGACGAAGAGGCAACGGCGAGTATCCCTATCCTTCGGAGTCCCGACCGTTCCGTTTAGTCGGACAACGCATAGGCGACTGTCCATCGGGATCCAGTCTTATGGAGTTAGTTCTGCCCTAGGACTTAATACTATACCTACACCGTAGAGGCCACGAGAAGCGGCACCAGGGCTACCAGAAGCACAGCGTAAACCTTGTTGTGTCTCTGTCTGCACTAGGTGAGACCAAATCGATGATTTTACTCGGACAGCGTACAAGCGACTATCTACAGGGATCCAATCTAGGAGAGCTAGTTCTGCAGTTTAGAACGGGGTTTCAGGAGACAAGAAATGACGTTTCGTGAACTCGCATTGTTTGTATTAGAGGTGCAGTGAGATAAAGGAATGTGAGTAGAGTTCGTTGTGGAGAGAGGAGAGGTGTGTGTGGGTGTAGGAAGGATTTGATTTCGACCAATTCGGTCTCGTGTGCTGTTACGGGTATGAGGGCGGTTGTCACTTCCCGGCTGCCCACACCGTGGAAGGTTGTTTCTTGAGGGACCTGAAAAGGAAGATAGATTAGTGTTGGTCTTAGAGACCTGGGTGCGTGACCGCAGAGTCCAAGGGACAACTGATTGAGGCCGGTTACGCATGGCCTTTTTATGAAATGTTTTTTGAGGATTAGCTCCGCTCTTAAAAGCCCTGAGTGGGCACCGTTACCCAAGGAGACGGAAATCCGTGAGGTAGGGTGAGGTGTGACATTTTTAGGGTCGACCATTTCTAACCCTTCCTTCCTTGTGAGAAGGCAGCATCTCTGCAGATGCTGGTTATCCGAGGGAGACACCTTACTGCTGTCACACCCCTCCATCACAGTCAGCAGTACGACTTCGCCCTCAGAACTTGGGTAGCTGCTTTTAGTCTCATCCTTCTCCAATCGACCTGCGTGGCATGGTAGAACCTTCGGGGACATATGTTACAGCCAATATAGCTGGGTTGGGTCATCACGATAGGCAAGCCCGACCACCACGTCAAGGTAGCAGCTACGGTCAGTAATGGCATGTACGATCACGATAACTAATTTATCGAAATTAACTTCTTACGGTCAACTGACTTAACACAAGAGTGATTGTGTTAGCCACCCCCAGTGTAATCTTAACTAAATATAACAACATAAATTAATATCAGATATTTATTTCAACCAAGCTTAATCTCAATCAAAGTGAGCAGGCAGGCAAAGAAAGGATAACCGAATGTATGAATGAATGAGCAAAAGTAACGTGATGCTTTAATTAAATGAGTGTAGTGTCGATCACTATTTCACACCTAAATGGCTTATTCGAACTTTCAGACAGATCAATTAATTTATTTTTCTAGACATTATCCACCGTACGTATTTTGAACTTTTATTAATAATTTGCCTTTAACCTTGATTGTTTCTGTTTAAATATACGTGTGCATCGCTTTACCCTATTCACTTCATGTCTTAAGCGCATTTTTATCTGACTATAAACAGTGAGTCACGCCTTATCGAATGGGAGTTGGTCTACTAGCTTTTTACACTTGGCTTTCCAGCTTAATCTCACAATTTCTATCTGAGTATAGGATTGCATGCAATAAACTCATCCAAATAACTTTGGCTTATTGTTACCGCCGTTGCCAACAAACAGGGTTAGCCTAGGTGCAATTATACAGAGTTAAACAGAATGTCTATTCTTATAGTATATGTTAATACACTCATTCATTCACATGAGAGTCATATCATTGACCACTAAAAAAGAGCCTTTAAATATATGATATAACATCTAAAAATTAGATACAAGATGCTTCAGGAAACATACACAAACATTTCATCTATGAATACATAGATTAGTATTGTAGGATAGAATACCAATGGAAAACTTATAAGGTACAATACAATGGGTCACTTGAAACTTATTGTAAACAAAATAGGGTCAATTATGGCGTCAACTTCAAGCTCAATGTTAGCTGCTGATGATGATGATGATTTTAAAGTTCAATTACAAAATGGACCTCTTAGGGAGGTTAGCAAGAAACTAAAATCATCGAGCTAGTACACATCAATGGCACATTTCACTACCATCACCGACAACAACATCAATAAAGAGCGTCTAAGTCCGTTTAACAGTGTACACTTGACAATGATCTGCATTTGTGAAAACAAGTGTGATTATGAAATTGTATTTTGAATGGTAAAACAGCTCATGTTAAAGCAAGCACAAGTGTATAATACACAAAACAACTATTCGGAGTGTAACATAATGAAAAGTATACAAACTATTCTATACTTACCGGGCTTGTTATTGAATGATTTGGTAATGGACGGAGAATAGTGATATTATCTGAAGAATTAATTCTATTTTCCTCTATAATCGGCATAAAATTAGGATCAGCATTATTTTCAATGACAGATTGTAGTAGTTCAGTTATTTGTTGTAGATTTTTGGTGACATGGGCAACTATAGGATTCATTTTAATAGAGGATTTATTTTCAATCACTTTTAGAGTTACATTTGAACTGTAGAATAGATTATAAACATATGTGAATGAATTAAACATGTACAATGATAATGATATGACTTAACAAGTTAAAAGAATAACACAATCAGAACACCAGTGTATAATAACACCACTTGAACTATTTTCAAACTAGCTTCAATGTGATTAAAGGGTATAAGAAAAAAAGAGGACAACTCCATACACTAATGAATATCATTGATATATGAAGTCAAAATGAAATAGTAATTAATTTAGAATTTATTAAATAACTAATTAAAAAGTATCATGTCTTTATAACTACGCAATCACTGTCAAGTAATCATCAATGCTATGTTGTTTAGTCGCGTTAATGTTGATTAACACTCATGAACACTGCTGAATGAATTATGTCAATAGGATTAATTGAAATATCAATGATGTGTGATAACAGTGACAACCCGAAATGTTTGAGATGCGCTTCGTGTCATCTAAATAGAAAATACTGTTTGAGTTTTAATGTGACACTGCTAAATTTTATCATAGGATATCAAGTAGTTTAGCCAGTTGGATAGCTTTAGTAGCTCGGTGAATCGATAGGTCTTTGACATGCTAACCATTATCGGGTAAATGTACTGAGCAGTCATGCGCTTTGTAGTTGTAGTATATGGGCCTCTGAATATGAAGATATGCATTGGATACTAGGTATCTTCGAAACATTACTAATGTACAGTGAAACTCCAGAATAAGTAATATTAAAGTTCAAGTCTAAAGTGATCCATATATTTGTAGGTCAATGAATCTTCAACTAGATATTGTCTATTCTGATGTGCAGTGATGGATAGAATAGGAGTACACTAGGAAAAGGTCACACGTTGTCGAAGATCATCAACTAACAGTGTGAAGTACATCTGAAAGTGAGGAGTTCCTAGATGTAGTCCTCAAGATAAGTAATCAGTCACTGGAAATTTGAGATATCATTGTTCGAATTCAGTTATCTTTGCATACACATTTATTCGCCTTTTACTAAATTTGAAGTTTGAATGTTGTACCTGATATTTTACTCCCAATTTCATTAGCTTCTTTGGAAAGATATTACATAAGAGTTTAGCTTTCTGCTCAAACTGATATTGTTTACCATTTGTCGCTTACCTTTAGGCTATAAAAATGTTATTACTCATGATTTATTAATATTTTACAATTAGATATATTTGTTCTAATATCTTCTTAAAATTCTACACATTTTCTTGTTCTAAACCATCACTTCGTGATGGTTTTTTCCTCTACAGTGAGAATTTCAAACTGTCATAGGAAATAAACAAGAATTGAAAAGTGAAATAAATGAATTACAGTTTATAGTGGCTGTTTGAAAATTCTAATTAGATTGTAGTGAAAAAATGTCAAATCAATGAAGAATAAACTAAATTGTAGCTTAACAAATCTTACCTAAGTGTTAACTTATCACCTGTCCAACATAAATGATCACTATTTTCCATTGAATTACGCAAAAGCTCCTTACTACAAAAATATTCGATGATGGCAGAAAATGGTTGGCGTAATGAGAGATACTGCAAAAAGATGAGAAATGAAAAATCTATACCATAAAAGGTAAATGAACTTAAGAAAATTTTGATAAATTTATTGAACTGTACTACTAGGCGCGCCGAAGGTCCTCGGTCTGGATCCTGCGAGTAGCAGGAGTCGTGGATAGGCACTGCTGATGAGTTCCACACCAGGACGAAACAGCCGTCTAGTGCTTCTAGGTTTCTAGTGGTGGTCTAACAATGAATCATTCATGATTTCAACGTTTGATCAGCTATTTTTATAGTGAGATATATTATTTTTACATGAATGTATTGTAGTCGAAGCTCATCTATCTAATAGTCAAATACAATGTTTTACATATTTTTTTCGTATATGACGTTTACAATTGTGTGATGTGTTAGGATATTCATACAATATCCCAAGAGAATTATTGGTCAATTCCTACTGGTTAATTTTATGGTCGTCCTAGATATCAATGTGACGTACTCCAGTGTTGTTTGGTCGCCCTGACTGTCGATGTTATTTTAAAGGTTCTTTCCTATTGGTCATCTTAACTGTAAATGTCACAGACTTCGATACTCTTTCCTATTCGACCTAAATGTATAAATACGCATTATCTGTAAAGCATTCATTCCGTTCCTTCCTGCCTTCCTCTCTACTATACTCGACCCATTAAACAACTTCATCTAACGGTGTTGTGTTCTGATATATAGGATATTTGAGAATAGTAGTTGGGTTGTATTGGAATATCTGGATTTGGATGTCGGTAGGATTTGAATAGCTACTCAGCAGCATTATAACATGATGACACTTAATTGTCAAGTTTTTTTTTCATTCACATGAAACGGATTGCGGTTGTTCAAGTATGTTCCAATAGTTGTTGTTGTTTCGTTTGCAGACAACATTCAATTTACCTCTGAACTTTATTTCGAAATAAATGGATCCAAGGAAAATCGTGAATGACATGTTTCACAGAATTTCTCAACAGACAATCGGACAGTTAGCTTTAATACATTCATCAAAGGAAGCACGACTTGTACTCTGTTGACTTTCAAGAGTGTCATGGGGTGGATGGCGATAAGTCTAGTATACAACTTTCATAAATTCGTAAGGATCACGTCTGAATTTCTTGAACGTATGGTCTCAATTGAATCTCAGATTGTTAGAATAACATCCATAGATAACAGGTTTTGTTTACAAGTATGAGTATATAGCGTCAAAATAAAAATATTCTAAGTATACATGGAAAAATAGAGAGACCATTTTAAATGGGTTCAGCTTTTGTTTACCAAACATACAGAAACCCTATAAATCCCAATTAATTTTTACAACTTAACAGTTAAGTAGTATATCACAAACTACAAGAAAATATTAGTCTATACACGATCATACAAATAAATCACGATGATAAGTGTAAACAAGCACACATATATACTTATTGTAAGACATGTTCAACTATCGTTATAAAAAGTAATACGCGTTTATCTAGGGAAAAAAAGTTACCATTTGATGATGAATTCATAAATATCCCAGGGCGAATTCATAGCATAATAAGTCATCAAAAAGAAAAAAAAGTTGAAAATATGTTTACATGAGCACATATATACAGAAATTATGCATAGATAGAGATACCTTGTTACGAATACTGTCTACCCATGATTTCAAGAGATCATAATTACCATAAAGATAAAAATGTTTATCAGTTTCTGATATGGCATTATGATGATCAATAAACAGAAACGGTTGATGTCGTCGTTGTCTAATATTCAGTCTCGAATAAAATGACTGAACATCTTTTGATCTGTCTGGTAAACAATCACTGAACAATTCATCCTAAAAAATAAATAATAGCATGAATTTTTTTTTAAAAAAAAGAAATAATTGAAACAATTTGAAATTCCAAAAATGTAAACATGATTTGTTCTGTCATTGATTGATTAGGTACAATGAATCAAACTCAATAAGTGGAGCATAACAATTGCATTTACTATAATTTGAAAGCATTAGTTGAATCAACTGACAAATTACCAGTAGTGCAAAAAGACGACTACTGTATGCTATTGAGAAAAAAAACAAACATGATTAGCTGTCCAATTAATTATTCATACATTCTGTGAACACATTTCAGATGTATTAAAGTAGTGGATTGACAACGATTAGTTAGTTTACTAACTGATACCGTATAGATCTTGCTTGTATAAACAAGTGGAAAATTGTAATTGTTTTGTTTTCAAATATTACTTGACTAAATATAATCAGTTTTATGTTTTATTCAAAAAATTATGCCGTTCGAAGTTGTGAGAACCAGTTTTATTCATCCATTTAAAAAAACTGGAACGATCCATAATATTTTTCACAAAAATTTCGGGATAATATTTGATTTAAGATACTACACTACGAAAGAAAACAACCTCATTAATTATGAATTAATCTGATAAGCTCTAAAACAAAAGATTCAACGAGATATAAAAACTTTGGATGAAATAGTTGCTGTGAAATATGCAATCACCTACATCAGGAATTGAATCTAGAGCCTTAAGTATACAAATCTGAGATAAACTGTGCTATGAGCTAGTGATAAAACTGTATATTATGCCGAAACACGTGGTGCGGAATCAGTAGTTGGTGAAATGATGAAATCGCCGCTCTATAATTAACATATAACTGAATGACTTACAAAACCCTTCTGAATAACATGCAAACTTACAGACTGTTCTAGCCGAAAGAATATTGTTTGAAGATTCATTATAGCATCAGATATATGTATTTGTAGTGGTCGAATAACCTGGGGGAAACTTTTCGAGTCTTTCAATCTTTCAGCAACACGAGCAACCTGATCTACAAAGACAGTGGAATTCAATCATTTTATAAACATGAAAAACTTTGAGGGTGGGAAAAACACTTTTCTTGATACACTTAATGGCTAATACTTGGAATGTAATAAGAAGGAAATGATGATTAGCCCAAGTTAATAAAACATTCTTAAGTCAATATTAGCCAACATGACTGTTTACATCTCAAGAGAATATAATACCACTGTTAAACTGGAAATGGAAATTGTAGAGTGTGTATAGATCTATGAGCCTCAAGTGAAAACTATCTTGAATAACTAGAAAATTGTAATTGGAAATTGGTAAAAGACATAAAACAAGTATATGACATCCGGTTTTACGTTTGAGAACGTAAAGCAGCACTTCTGAACATTTGGAATTATGACAATTGTTAGTGAGATAGTACAATGGGTTAATATAACGGGTGAGTACAGAGTCCAGTCCAATATTTTAATTACTTGAAATTACTATTCTTATAAGTTGTCTGAGGGCTAAGTCGTACTGCTGATTGTGATGGAGGGGTGTGACAGCAGTAAGGTGTCTTACTCGGATAACCAGCATCTGCAGCGATGCTACCTTCTCACAAGGAAGGAAGGGTTAAAGAAGGTCGACATCACGGAACGTCATTTCTGGTCTCTTGAAACCCCGTTCCAGACTACATGTTGGAGCTTTTAATGTACGGACATTGTATCAAATAGGGCAACAGGCTTCGTTAGCTAGAACTTTAGAATCTCGTGCCATCGATGTATGCTGCGTCTCGGAAACGCGCATACAGGATCCTAGTAAAGTCATTAACCTGATTCCACCTTGTCAAAATAAAGAAGCAGCTCGATTTACTCTTCGTGTATCCGGTAGCCCTGATGCTGCTTCCAGAGGTCTTGCTGGCGTAGGCATAGCGTTGAGTCCTAGGGCAGAATTATCTCTCCTAGACTGGATCCCAGTAGATAGTCGTTTGTGCGCTGTCCGACTAAACGGGACAGTAAGGACTCGTAAGGATAGAGACACTCGCCGTTGCCTCTTCGTCATATCTGCCTATGCTCCCACTGACTGCAGTGCAGACGAGGTTAAAGATGAGTTTTACAGAAAGCTCTCGGACCTCCTCCAAAAAGCTAGGCGCTCTGATATAGTAATAATGGCTGGTGACTTTAATGCTCAAGTAGGTAGACTAGGTGAAAAGGAAAGACATCTAGGTGGATGTTATGGTGTAGCGACTGAGAGAACAGACAATGGCAACCGTCTGTTGCAAGTATGCTCAGATAACTGCCTATTCTTAGCGAACACCAACTGTAGGCATAAGGAAAAGCATCTGTTGACCTGGCGACCCTCGAAGTCGTCTCAACTTTGGACTCAACTAGATCACATCGCCATCAGCCACCGATGGAGGGGCTCGATAGAAGACTGTCGCTCGTTCTGGGGCACATGTTTAGCCTCCAAAAAATACGAGCTCGCACTGAAGCATGTTCTGTGGCTGATGGCGATATGATCTAGTTGGGTCCAACGTTGAGACGACTTCGGAGGCCGCCAGGTCAAGGGATGCTTTTCCTTATGCCTAAAACTCATCCCAAAAGCGATGGAAAGGTTAGCGGGAATCAGCAACATTAGACAACTTTTCCGACTTATCAATGAAACTGGTATTAGGAATCCTAGTGTGAGACTATCTCGGAAAAGGATCGGACTATTATTTATTCTCAATCCAGGAGACTGGATCGATGGGCAGAACACTTTAGGGATCAGTTCAACTGGCCACGAGCCACTCTTCGGTTACCCACGATCTCCAGTCATCCTGAATGGCAAATCGACCTAAGTCCCCCTAGTCTTAATGACGTTGAGAAAGCGTTAGGAAATCTGAAACGAGGACGAGCTGCAGGTCCTGATAGACTGACCCCTGAAATATTTAAGGATGGTGGTCCAGTTTTAGCATCTAGGTTGACTGAGATCTTAGGTAGAATCTTGGAACTGGACGTAATCCCATCCGACTGGTCTCAATCACTGATTGTCCCAATTTATAAGAAAGGACAAAAGTCTTCTTGTGACAGTCAAAGAGGAATCAATATAACTAGTATAGTTTCTAAATTGTTAGCCTCCTTTATACTTAGACGCCTTACTAGTGCGCGTGAAGAGCAGACTAGAGAAAACCAGGCTGGTTTTCGACCTGGACGTGGTTGTCTAGACCACATCTTCACACTCAAACAGGTCCTGGAACATAGACACACATTTGGGCGTCCTACAATAGTTGTCTTCCTGGACCTAAAAGCGGCATTTGACTCTGTGGATCGTGAGGTTCTGTGGCAGTGTCTGTCATCAAAAGGTGTACCAAAGAAGTACATTAACCTTATACAAGCTCTCTACTCGAACACCGCTGGTCGAGTGAGAGCTTATGGCGAATTGTCACCGGAATACTTTACTTCAAGTGGTGTCCGTCAGGGATGTCCAGTTTCTCCATTCTTGTTCAATTTTATCATAGACATGCTCCTAGAAATAACCTTGTCCTCGTATGAATTTTCAGGAGTAGACCTTCTACCAGGTGGCTCGCTTATTGACTTAGAACATGCCGATGACATTGTCCTACTTGGTGAAGACGCTGACAAAATGCAGAGTCTTATGACCACCATAAGCAACAATGCAAGCATGTTCGGAATGCGGTTTTCCCCCTCGAAACGCAAAATGTTGCTTCAAGACTGGCTTGCATCGGCACCTGAACTAGTGATAGGGAGTGAAGTAGTCGAACGTGTAGACCGCTTCACTTATCTTGGGAGTCTCATCAGCGCTGATGGCCTGGTGACTGACAAAATCTCAGCACGGATACAGAAGGCTCGATTGGCTTTTGCCAACCTGCGTCACTTATGGCCCAGGCGAGATATCCGTTTGCCGACTACAGGACGAGTGTACTGTGCAGCAGTTCGCTCCGTCCTACTGTACGGATGCGAGACTTGGCCGTTAAGAGTAGAGGACCTCCGTAGGTTACTAGTCTTCGATCATCGATGTCTCCGAAGCATTGCTCGTGTATCATGGGAAAACCGTGTAAGCAATGCTGTCGTTAGGAAACGAGTTCTAGGTAGGGACGGCAAATCAATAGATGAAGTAAAGAAACTTCATCAGTTGAGGTGGTTGGGACATGTGTTACGCATGGCTAACCACCGACTGCCGCGACGAGTGATGTTTTGCAGTGTAGGAGTAGATTGGAAGAAAGCTAGGGGCGGCCAAACCAAAACATGGCACAAATGCATGAAGTCATTGGCAAGTGGACTCAGTCATGTTGGTAGATGTAGGCTGCCTGGTTGGGGGTCCGCGAGACGATAGTCACCGATGGTTAGAGACCTTGAACGACATGGCTCAGGATCGTTTGCAATGGCGCAGGTGCATCCAATCTTTGTGTTCTATGAAATTCTAAGCTTCTGCATTCCTCATAATCTCTACCCTTCTCCTTCTAAATTTATCTTACTGAATTATATTTCTCGAATCATATCTTCTCTCCCTAGTCTTCTCCATTACTGCTAATACTTCTATTATTGCTATCACTCTTGGATTTGAACTGACAGTTGCGTCCCTGTGCTGATGGGGCATGGCAACCTGAACTGATGTGCGTACGTACGAAGTTCTGCGTTGTATCTGTCTGTCTGTCTGTCTATATATAGGTTGTGGCCTTCCCGAATATTTGCCGACACTTTGTCAGCTACCAATACATCAGGGTTGAAGAAACCTCTAGAAAAATTGAAGCGATTGAATTTATCACCAGTTTAAGCTTTGGAGACGCTAAGTTGTGATCCGTGTGACTAAATGCAATATTTTTAGACTGTGAAACTTTGAGCAAAGAGTAGAGGTAATCAGTCCACGGAATAGTGCTGAGGTATGGAAGATAGATGTACAGAATTGAGATTCCTTGATCTATCACGAATGCTTGGTTGGAGTTCTAGAAATCGTGTAACACAATGACTTGACGCGTTATGGGATACAAGTAAGAATGAAAATCAGTGTCGTTGCTACTTTAGCTTTTTGGTGCATCTCATAAAAATAGGATGATCATTCTCAATTGAAGGACGTCTTTCTTGATCATATTTCTATGTGTATGATATCTCTTGCCAAATATTATTCTCGCTCATCTATTCACCGACTAAAGCAAACTTCTCTCGTTTATTTTCTTACATTATTGTCACTTTATGTGGTTAAAGCTATTGCATCCTGATGTAACAAAACCTATGCTTAAATAAAGGAATAGTGTTTAGAGTCATCCTAACGTTCAGACGTATTGTATCGAAGAGTAAGAATTACTTTCCATAAACTTGGCGGACTGCATGCATACTAAGTGGTAGGATGATTGAAAACTCTTATCAGAAGTCAAATATTACATATAGGCAATAATAGATGAATATTTGCAAAAACTATGTGAACAGAACGACAAGTTAATTCGGTAAAAAATGACAAGACTTTACGTTACACTGGTTTTATGTCGGAAAATGTAGGCCAGATTGAGACCAGGACAATGAAAGTACTAAAGTGTTCACACTTTCCACTATGCATTACTTGCATGATACTCCCGCAAGATGTAAACACTGCCATGGAGACAACCGTGCAACGATTGCTAAATACAGTCGTCGAATAAATGTTAGGTTTTAGAAGTATAAAGTACATTTAATCTCTTTTTGTGTGAAAACTCACAACTCACGCAATGACCTAAGCAAAAACAAACCACCTAGAATTTTACCATGCATCGATTGGACGATAATATCAAAAACGAAAATTAACTTTAAGGCGATACTCAACGAGCTGAACAAGTTACATTTGAGGCTACAGGCAGCTAGTATACAATAAGTCTGACAAAATTTTGTTAACAAGTAATGGATATAATAATTTTTGATAAAAGTAGAAGCCTCATATGCTGCATAAATGGATCAGGCAGTGAGTAAGCTTACACTCAAACATTATAAAAATGATACTTTATGTAAATGATTTATGAAATATTTAACCTACCAATAAATGACAACCAGTAATTATCAAAAGCAGTCCATAATATGAAACATGTAGACAAACGACTAAAACAGCTATGTTGACATATGACAGGTTGAATTACGCCTGAACATAAATTACAGTAACGTAATTTAGTCCATTCATTTATACAACTATGATTTACGGTTGTCTGTAGGAAAGAGTACAAAAATATTTAAATATTTCAAAATTTTGAAGCCAGAAGAATAGTGATAAAAATTAGACTTTCTACAGAACCTAAGGTTAATAAGAAAACAAATAAAATCAACCTGATGAAACTAAATTCGAGCTATTGATGGATTCTTGAACCATCTTGTAGTTTTACATTATCTATTTAATTGTTTCCCATCTTAACAATATCCAACATACAAACAACTTTGTTCGTCTATGACAGTGAGTGTCCAACCTCGCTAACTACTTCATCTCATTTGACAAACGCTATAACCAACCCCAAAGTTGCTTAGTCGGGGATTGTTATAAAACAATTCAAACATTTAGGTGTTGAAACAATTGTAACTAATGTTGCAGCTAGACAAACGTTGAGCTGAGAAAATCAAACATTTTATTTTAGCCTTGGCAATGTGAAGATTAATTCAGTCAATCGTCATTTTACTAGGGCTTAAGTTGATTGCTCTGTTTATTCATAAAAGGCTGAGGAATACAACTTTGCTAATTTTGTAGAAGTATTTTATATCGAACTCCACCAAGTACTTGTATATGAACCATACCAAGTGAGTTAACGATACTACCTAACCGTCTACGTTGCATCTGTCTGTCTGTCTACCTAACCACTTGAGCCGGAGTAGGTGGACAAAGGTTCGAAACCGGGACCTGGTGACATATTTAGTTCCGATGATTTCCAAATAATATTCTGTAATTTTTTAAATACTGTATGTCATTGGAGTAAAATAATATTGTGAAAACTTGCAACAGATCAATAATAACTGGCATATCTTACCTTTATTAAGGATTGAACTACATGGTTTCCTAAAAGAAAACTATTTCTAAGAATCCTGAAAGGAGGAAATGCACGAGATGCCATAGACCTTATTATTTCAGGCGCTTGGTCAAAAGGCTTGAGAGGTTTCAGCTTAGATGCAACGCATTTGGCTACAACACGATCTGCTTCAGTTTTTACAAACAGCATTACGTGAAGTGCACGGATTAACAGATTATCGAAAAATTCATTAACCAACGACGCTATATTCTGCCGGTTTCCCAGCATATAACTTTCCAGCTCATGAAAGAACTTTTCGACAAAATCCTTGTTTTGATCATAGTTATATCCGTAGGAGTTAACGAAAAGGTCATGGAAACCTTCCAAAGTCAGCTTTAAACTCCTTAACAAATAATCTGAATCATTAATCAATGTTATGTAACAAACCCTGTAGGTATAGAGCATCATCCCTCAAATTTTGACTAATATTAAGCCAAAATGTGCGCCAGTGCTTAGTAAAATCTAAGACACCAACAGCCATGATTTTTTCCAGCAACTCTCGATTACAGCAGTCATCAGAACCAGATACCCTGGTCACTCCACAAAAACCAACCGGTTGATCTACAAATAACATTTCTTAAAACAAGCTTTACTAGGTTCAAGAGGTCGGGAAATGTATTTATTTAATGTATCTCTAGCCAAAAGACAACGTTGATCAACGCGCTTGAGCTCTGCAAGCCATATATCTTCAGACAATATGGTGATGATAATTGCATTGTAAAACCTCATCTTCTAAAAATTACCCATCCTGTAATAGTACTTCTACAAGCATCGAACCGAACTAGGGAAGATTTCACCCGCCGATGTAACGCTCAGCCTCTGATGGCTAGCTGAATATGTAACGGATTGTGTCTAGTCCGAGAATGCTTTCGATAATGTAGGAGCGTTTTCAGCAGCGTGAAGAAGGAGAGCTGTAAAGGAAAACACAAAATGTAATGCCGTGACTCATTGTTCATGTAGGATGTACTTACATCTGGTAATGAAGGCAATGGACAACATGTAAAAATAAGACAGGAGTAATATTACGGGAATTTGCTGGTAAAACCTATAAGTTTATAACATATGATTTCGTTTGCTTACACTAATCTTTTCTACTAGCTACTAATACGAGGTGTTTCAAGTGTTTATTGACAGGCAGTAAAGACTTAAAATCACAGCATGTAAACTGTTATCAGGGAATCCACGGAAGTGGAAGACGAAGAGTGGCATCTATACAATACCAAATATCCAATATCGAACAGAGATAACTAAAAGAAAGTTGAATCACGCGGTTTTAGTACAAACATTATTCTGCAAGTTCAGTATATGCACGGCTTGTTGTTCTACTTGCAACACCTTTATCCTTTGTCGTCCTGCTATGAAAGGAGAACTGATTCCGTTTATACCATACACAGATATATGAACAATATTACAACATGAACCATTTGATATTTTTGTACTCTTTTCTTGTTGTTTCGGGATTCGTTAGTTTACAATGAGTGGAAGTCTTGATACTCGACTATATTAATTCCTGTCAGTTGGCAGTTAGGTATGAATTAGTTTTTCCTATGATTTGAGTGAATGCGTTCATCCCATGAAGTAGCGTTACCAAGCAAGAGACCAAATATCGTTTTCGCAAACCAGTATCAACAAGTTGTTTTTTTGCGCTCACCTCTTTTTCTTTTGGTACAGTTCCAGGTATTAGTTAGTTGTGACTTGGAGAGTAATGAGTAGAAAAATCTGATACTCATCTGTCGATGCAAATTTCAGAACTATGTTTATAATCATATAAGTTATTTAATAAGTGGTTAAAATTTTCTGAGAGGATATAAGTGTTTGCAAAGAAGAGGAACACAATGACAACAAACGAGGTAAAATAAGTTTCGCGACATACATCAGGGACAGCTGACCCAAAAATGAGATGAGTAGGCCTTTTTTCAATTCTCGTCTTGAGATTATCCACTTAGGGGTTGTGGTCACTTAGTCTGGATGAGCGTCCGATGTCGGGACAGATCCTCATGAAGAATGTGGGCACGTACCTGCTTGTTCGTTCTTTGATGTGCATTTTTTGGAGAATATCTTGAGGGGTGTGGTGGTGATCTTATGGCAAGATGTTTGTGTTATGGTGATTTGGCAGGCCTACTATGTTACACGTTATTATCAAATCACCTCCGATCCTCTTATGACTCAGAAGGAGTAATTTCTGATTCTGTTCTCTGTCTATGTATATTTTATTCATTAACCGTGTCACTAATCTAGTTTCTTGTCACTACACTTGGTCCAGAAGATTTATGTCACCCATATGAAATTAAATGCATGCGGAACGTCACTTTACTTACTTACGCCTGTTACCCACAATGCAGCATAGGCCGCCGACCAGTTTTATCCAACCAACTCTGTCCTGGGCTTTCATTTCCAGTCCTTTTCAGCTTTCGTTCATTCTTCTCATGTCTTTCTCTATTTCTCCGCCTGTAGAACCTTCGAGGCTACTGTCACTCCCAAGCCCGGATAAAGGAGGAGTGTTGGGCATGGGGTGGGCGACCCCATCCCACTAAAAAACTAACTTGCCATAAAACGCTAACCGTAAAAAAACAGACCGTTAGGTTTTATTTAATGGACAAATCACATATACTGAACAGATAAGGTTTTCAATGTATGTCTCAAAGTTCTTAGAGAGTAAACGATTTTCATGATGAATAGTTCTGCAAGCGAGTATCATCAAACACTGAATTTTCATGACATCTTCCACTTTATTTCCTTCCTGTCGTGATACATTACGTTTTGCATATGCCTAGAAGTTTATACTAGATTCTTCCCTAATTGTAGGCTGGAGACGTTGGAGGTTGACGAATTTACCAAGCAAGTGTTTCCCTATTTCTCTCAGTGAAGTAATTTCGCAGCCTCTCTAGTTCTTTTAATTGATGAGATGGCCATGCTGATTTCTTAAATTGTTGGTTGGTCAACATTGATTCGGCGGTCCGTGAGTGGTGCTTCCATGTCAGATGGTTTCATTGGAGCTGTTCGATTCCCCAATTCCTCGAAGTGTTTTGCCGACCCGCTTTGCTGCGCTTCTATGTTAATGATTATTTTGCCTTCCTTGTGTTTTGCTTGTCCTTCTGGATTTCGTTAATTCCCAGTAAGTCCTTTGTTGTATTATACAAGTGTCTCATGTTCCCTTATCTCGCGGCCTCCTTGTCTTCCATTATTAGATCTTGCGCAGATTTTCACATATCAGCTCTGATACTCCCGTCACTTGCTTTTCTTTTCCTTGCTCTACTCCTGTTCGGCTGATATTGACTGTCACCTTCCTGTTATTCCTTCCTTAAATCTTATTCAGATCACCAGTAGAGATCCATTCTTTGAGATCTTCCTGCCTGTGAAACAGAACTTAATGGAATGCCGAAGTTATTGCTACATAGGTCCTTTTCCGGTGGACCACCACGATGGTTTCATCTCAGTCGACCAGACAAAGAAGGGCATGGAACTTATTGTTGGCGGTTTACCATGAATTCGTTGAGTTTCTCAGTACTCCGAAAAAAGTCCGTATCAAACTTTAGTGAAGTAGTTTGCTCCTTTTTCAAGTGCTTCTTACGTTTTACCATGGCTACCAGCAAGTGATGATCTCAAGCAACATCAACTCTCCTGTTAGTTTTGAGATGGTTGGGCAAATTTATAGCTCAGGTGGATGATTGTGGTGATGTTTCGTTCTCTGAGCTGGATGTTTTGGTTGTGGAGCCTTCATTTTTCTCCTGAACAACATCGTCAGCACAAACTTCAGACAGAAGTTCTCACGTCTTCCATAGTCCTTCTGAACTTTTCATTGTAGCAGATATGGTCGAGTTGATTCTGTGTAATGTGATCCGGTGAAATCCATGTGACTTTGTATATGAGTTTCTGTGGAAATACTGTGCCGCCGATGACTAGTTTGTTGAAGACACACTCATTTTCCAAATCTCTTACTATTTTCGTTCCTTTCTTTCATTTCATATCGTCCCATGATGTCTTCATGTCAGGTGTTGTCCATTTCAACCTAGGTATTCAGATCTCCCATCAGAATTGTCAAGTCCTTTAATATGAATTTCTAAACGACTGACTTCAGCCTGTTGTAGAACGATCTTTAACTTCTTCATTGCTATACTTTGAGGACGCATAGCACTGGATGATGTTCATTGTAGTGCCCTATTTGTGTTTTGGAGATGCTTTGATGATCCTAGGTGTATGACTTTCTCATCCCATCAGTGTTTTTCGCACTTGTTTGGATAGCATCAGTGCAACTCCTTTTGTATGTGCAGCAACCACTCCATGGCCAGACTGCAACACCAGCTCTCCTGAAGCTAGTCTTTGTTGTCCAAGTTGCTTCCTATGAGTTTCAGTGACTCCACGTATCATCAAGCTATGCCTTTGCATTTCGCAGAAAGTTTAATAACTCTTTAGGTCTCGTACAATGTGTAAATATTCCAGGTGCCTAAATTAATGGTTGATCTAGTTGTGAGAAGTGAGGAACTCGATTTTCATCATGAGATGCGATAACTTTTGTTTATGAAGACCTTCAAACTGTAGCGACAGAGTTTAGATGATTTGAAATACCTTTTCTGCTAGCATTTTTAGTACGATGGTTTTCTATATGCCCAACTGGCAGTAGCCTCAGAGGGGTTCCAGGCAGAGTTGCAAAAATATTTTACGGATAGAAATACAGAAGCATTTGTTTGGTAAATTCGTTAACCTACAAAGTCTCCAGCCGACCAATGCATCACAACAGGAGGGAAATAAAGTGGATGTTGTAGTGGTATAGTTTTACAAAGAAAACACAATTGCTGAAATATAAACATTTATTTTTGTACTTAATTCTGACAGTAATTGTTATGTTGGGTCAAATCATTAAGCATGAGGTTATTCTACCTTGTGAACATAAAGTACCTACAATCATGGAATACACTGTACCGTCCTCACTCAAGGAATTGAAGGCTTTTATCAGTTTGGTCAACTTCTACCGGCGTTTCACTCCTCACGCGGCAGAGCAGTTACATCCATTAACCGACTTACTTCGGGTAATCCACGCACACTAGAATTGAACGATGCCGAGCGTACTGTATTTTCTGAGATTAAAAAAGCTTTAGTTGTAGCCAGGCTCTTCGCCCATCCTGATCCATCAGCCACGCTTAGCTTAACGTTTGATGTACCAGATTTTGCTGTAGGAGCCTTTATGCAACAAAAATTCTCTGGAAGTTGGCAACCTCTCGGAGTTTTCTCACGACGCCTTACTCCCACGGAGATGGGATATAGCGCTTTCGGTCGCAAACTGATAGTATCCTACTGTGTGATCAAATATTTTCGGCAAGCGGTAGAAAGTCGTAACTTTATCCCCTTCACCGACCATAAGCCTTTGACGTATGCTCTGCGTACCAAGATTGACCGCTACTCACCACGGGAGTCCAGACATTCGGACTACATATCTCAGTTCACGACAGACCTTCGTGATATTAAAGGTGAATCGAACTATGTTGCCGATGCCCTACCACGTATTCAAGTGAATGCAGTTACTTTTCCAGTGCTGAATCTTCCTGCTATGGCCGCTACTCAAGTAAATGATCCTTCCAGTACAGAAGCACACCAGTCGACATCCCTTCAGTGCCAGAAAGTACCATTTGCTACCACCTCAGGTACTACCCTGTGTGAATATTCTAATGGTTAAATCCGACCCATTGTACCTTCTGCTCATCGTCTTCTCGTCTTCGAAGCCCTTCATGGATTGTTTCATCCAGGTATCACAGCCACATTACGTCTCATCGCTGCACGATACTTCTGGCCGTACATGAATAAAGATATCTGTATGTGTATAAAGCAATGCTTGCAGTGTCAACGATCAAAAGTGCACAGGCATGTAGCCGACCCTATCGGCACATTTGCTACGCCTGATGCTCACTTCCATTATGTTCATATTGACATTATAGGACCATTGACACCATCGCATGGGTATGATCACATACTCACGTTCGTCGATCGTTTCACAAGATGGCCTGAAGCTATTCCCGTCACTTCTATTACGGCGGAAACAGTTGCTCACCGTTTCATAGAACGATGGATAGCGCATTACGGTTGTCCCTCAACTGTCACAACTGACCGAGGACAACGCTACGAGTCCGAATTATTCTCCCCCCTCCGCGCGAAACAGCTACGTATAGATTGTGCAAACCCTTTCTAGGGGGGTCTAATGTAGTGGTATACTTTTACAAAGAAAACACAATTGCTGAAATAAAAACATTTATTTTTGTACTTAGTTCTGACAGTAATTGTTATG